ACTTCATGGTAATAATTTTAATACTAATTGGCATTAAATTTTTTACCACGTAGTATTAATTTAATACCGGATCAATACCACGCGGTAGACTCATGTATCAATACCAACGGTTATTGATTTTTTTAAGAGTGTACGTAAATGTAATCGTGTAAAGTAATCGTGATATACCCCCTCATAATTGAAGGTGTCCCAGCGTATGCTCTCCCATTTGAGCAAACTAGTGTCAATCTAATTTGATTAATACAAAATTTGCAAACGACACAACCTCCCAATGGGCACGTTTGCCAGAGATATTTGCATCCCAAGAGGAGAAAGCACGAAGTAAATTTAGAAAGTCTAAAATTTGTCAAGGTTAGGGCACGTTTTCTCCTCTTCGGACGCAAATATCTCTGTCAGACCTGCGCATTGGGGGATCGTGTCTTTCGTAAATTTCATACTGATTAAATTTGCGAAAACTAATTCAGAAGTCAAGCTTTCTCCTCTTCGGATGCAAATATCTCTGCCAAAAGTGCCCATTTGCAGATAATTTCTTTCACAAGTTTCAAGTTAATTAAATTTAACATTCAAAGTCGAAGTGGCTGCCTTTGTTTTTCAGAGACGCAGTTAATTCACTCTAACAAATTGTGCATACTGAGGATAGATAAATATTATGCCATTGCTCCGCACTTTGAAATATTTACATTTATGTAAATAGACAAATGCGGATATAAATCCTGGATATGACATAATTATGCATGCATTTGGCGTATTTTTGCGTTGTTGTACTTGTGTGTTTATTGTTTCCTCCTCTCCACTCATGTTACATACACCACTTGCAATAAAATTGAAAACAAACTCAAAGTTTGCACACTGACGGAAAAGTACATACACGCCCCACCTAAATTCGAATTCGACCATGGCTTCTGCTGTCTGCAAAGCAAAGCCTTCTGCAAAATTAAGATATATTGGAAACCAAAGCTGTCTTTCGTCTCATGTATTTATTGAGTAGCAGAAGAAACCAAAACCTTGCGGGTTGTTGTACATACATAATAATATTATTATTCTAATGCGGTTCCATCGAAATGTTGTTGCCAATTCGACTTTGTTCTGTCATGAATAAAAAAGGCGATATTGCAGGGTTCGGGTGCAAGGAACAAACGCTTGCATGAAATAACGGGGAGAAAGTGGTTTCTTGCAGGTAAATATTTTAACCTGCAAGAAATGCAAGGCGCTAAAAACTACGCCCCGACGCTATACTTCACACTAGATGGCGCATATTTCTTGCACTTTCTCCCAGTTTCTTGCACCTCCCATTTCTTGCGTGGCTTGCTTTCCAGTGCTAGAAGTATGGAAAACTCACAGTGCGTGGCTTAATAGCGCATATTTCTGGTACTTTCTTGCACCTTTCATTTCTTGCATGCCTAGTAAATGTACGAAACATGCAAGAAACTATAATCAATTGGTGAAAGTAACCATTTGCAAGAAATAACCGAAAGAATGTGTTTTTTACAAGTAACTATTTTCACCTGCAAGAAATGCAAAACGCAAGAAACTCCTTCCCGCCGCTATACTTCATACGGCACGTGACTAACTGGCGCATATTTTCTTGCACTTTCTCCCAGTTTCTTGCACCTCGCATTTCTTTTCTTGGATTGTAGTCCAGGAAATGTAGCTCACAGCGCACGTGGCTTACAATGGAGGTCTCCCAACGTATGCTCACAGATTTGGACCAAACTAGTGTTAATCGATCACAAATATAATTAGTATTAAATTTGCAAATGGAATTATCTGCCAATGCTCAGGTTTAGCGGAGATATTTGCATAAAAAGAGGAGAAAACGCGCCCCCAAGGCTGGCAAATTTTTCAATTTCCAAATTTGCTGCGCATTTTTCCCACTTTGGATGCAAATATCTCCGCCAAACCTGAGCATTGGCAGATAGTTCCATTTGCACATTTAATACTAATTATATTTGTGATTGATTGACACTAGTTTGGTCCAAATCTGTGAGCATACGTTGGGAGACCTCCATTGTTAGTAGTGCATATTTCTAGTACTTTCTCCCAGTTTCTTGCACCTCGCATTTCTCCCTTTACAGTGCAATAAATAAATGCAGCTCACCCGCCCGAAACGAAACCTTCCTCCACATATTCTAATATCTTGGGAAATGTTTCCTGTATGAGTTCTCTGCTGACACAATGTATCGCACACATAAATTGTGATATGTGCTTACCATGTCGGGCATTATAGGCGAGTCGTCGTGCATGTGGCTAAAAGTTAGACGTAGTCGCGTTGTTTAACGCGGTTTTGGTTGAGTGCCAAAGTACACACATATTAAAATGAAATAAGATCTTCGTATTGGAGGAAGAAGGACGCGTTATTACGACAGCTCAACTTAAGTGAGAATTGGAAAAAGTAGGAAATTGAATTTAGGAAATGTCTGGAACAGAGGGGGACGACGAATAGAACAATAAGCGTCACACCGAGACGCGTCACACCGAGACCTGTTCACGCTTTTAAATCTTTCCTTGAAATAAATAAATGAGATTGGATGGAATTGAAAAAAAAAATCTTATGCGACGTGTCGTCGTCAACGAAGAACAACAGGTTGTTCTTTGAGCCAATCCAGTATGTCGATCTGGTCTATTTTCTCTCTCAACAATTTTTTTAGGAAAGAAAGACACACATAGATTATGTGGGTACAGTGGCCGCGGAAGGGTGGAGGGACGGAGGGACAATGTCTTCATAGATGTTCGATGTCCGCATCATCTACTCCTGTTAGATATAAACCCATCCCTCTAATATTCTACAAGGGCAATGTCCCCAAATGTCCCCACGGCTTCCGCGGCCACTGTGTAGGTAGGTAGAGTTGGTATGAAACAGAAGAGTAGGGCGACTATGTATGTATTCCAGTGATATTTGTACTGGGAGACCTCGATTTAATGAGGATGAAAGACATTGGCGGCGGAAGTTGGGTAGGGACAACCATAGTGGCTCCCTGCTCAAATGTAAAACAAAATAAATCGCATGTGAATCAGCCACAGCGCCCAAATCGTCGAAATATTTTTTTCTCAACCACTAGCCGCCGGGCTCGCTCACCAGGCAGCAGCTCCAGCAAAGTTCAGTTTTCCGCGATTACATTAGCCGAATGAGCCGAATTATCCTATTATTTAGCATTGGTTTATTTTATTTTGGCGTTCAAGTTATTCAATTTGTGTCAGATTTGAGTAATTGAATAATTTGAACGCCAAAATAAAATAAACCAATGCTAAATAATAGGATAATTCGGCTCATTCGGCTAATGTAATCGCGGAAAACTGAACTTTGTTGGAGCTGCTGCCTGGTGAGCCTAGCAGCTGGTGGTTAATAAAAAAATATTTCGACGATTTGGGCGCTGTTGCTCACGTCACGTGAGTAACGTAATGATACCCAGTCTCTCACATAAACTCCACCTTCCAGTTTATATAGTATCTTCTTCCAAGGGTAGGGACATGTGGGGACATTAACATTATGAGATAGGAAGAGGATCATCAACATAGGATATTTCTGAATTCCTGAGGGGACAATTTCTCCCTGTCCGGCTGTCCCCCTGTTTCCGACGCCACTGATGAAAGCCAGGCAGAACGACGGTGTGGGATTTACTGCACGGAGAATTCGGTTTGATTGCAATTTAGTCCTTCGAGCCACTCGACTGAATCCTATGGATTGGTGGCTTGGTATATCTGTATGTTTGTATTTCTTGTATTACGAACATTATATAAATAGCTGAACGAGCTGTGTGTGTGTCGTGTCGGGTATAATTATCATTATTTAAGAGGCCCACATAAGTCCGATTTTCTTATCCCTTGTCGGGCACTCTGTCACTGCGGCTAGTTGGCTGGTTGGTTGGGAAAAGATGAAATAAAATCCAGAGATTTCAAGATTTTGTTCTAAGACCAGTGGCCGCGGAAGCGGAAGGAAAATGTCCCACGGTTATTCGATGTTCGCATCATCTCCCCATCTTATACAAACTCCTCCCTCCCCTAATCCTAAGATATTAATGTCCCCATATGTCTCCACGGCTTCCGCGACCACTGTTCATGTATGTATTCGTATGTATGTACAAATGCGACCGAAAAGACGGCAACAAACGCATGAATGTGCTTGTTAGATGAGATTGAGGGTATCGATAGGATGAAATGATGGCTTTTTGGAAGTAATAAAATCTGTCCTGGTTGCGTTTTAGTGTATCAAACACACGGCTAGCAGTCTTCAGATCCAGTTTGAATTGGAGTTCATGTTCTCTATGTGCGTTCATCTTTTCGAAGATTATTTCGAGAAAGCAACAAACTCCATGATTTGACTGCTTTATGGCGGTCTTAATGTGGTCTAAAATTGTCTAAATAATATATGATGCACACAATTAGATCCTACAAGGGAGAGGCGGTTGGATTATAACATGATCAATGTTTGGGGCTGAATTTATCTTCTAAACGGAATATTTAGTACATAATCTTAATTTTAAAGGATTGGACTAACTTGAATAAGATGAATTTTATTATGCACATATTTGGATACTTATCAGTGGGTGGATAACTCGCTAAAATATGCATTTATTTAGCATTTAAGGAAACAAGCCAAAATATTTACGAAATGTGTACGAAAAAAACCACAAGAGTACAAATTTTCGCGAAATTTGTACTTCTAACTAATCTTTCTTTGTAATAATGCTCGGGATGTTTAGGGATTCAATTTCTTTAAGCAACAAAATTGAATCTCACATTGTTGAAATATGGACACAATTATTTTTGAAAAAGGATGTAAAATATTTACATATTTTAGCAAATAATAGAGGAAATATTTATGTATTGTATACCAGAAAATCTAGAAATTGTATAACAATATGTAACAAAAAATTTGAAATTTTTGTGATTTATAAAAGCTACGGAACAAATTTTAATCGTCAAAAAAACGTTAAAAAAAGTTGAAAATAAATATTTACATCTGGTACTTATGTAAATATGTACACTATTCTAATTTTCAGAAACCAACAAACCCGAGATTTTGTGGCTAATTCGGAATCCATTTCCAAATTTGTAAGCATAAACTCCACCCATCTCCAATTTCTTCGCCATTTTCGCTATTTTAGTGCAGAATTTAATTACATCTCTCAAGGTATTTACGGTAAAGATGGGAAAATCTATCCTTCTGTCAATCCTCCTGGTTGTCAGCTACATGTCCACATTCACCACCGTCCTGGGTGACAACATGGAACTGGAGACCGTGGACGTGGATCTGCTCCACGACCCAGGAGCCAATCTCACAATGACTTTCACCACCACCACAAACTTGTCCATCAATCCTGGAAATTTGAGCATTGAAGAGCTCATGAAACTGGAGCTTGCCGAGTACCCACTGAGGGACCCTTTGTCCATCGCCATACCGATGACGCTGATTTACTCCTTGATCCTGCTGAGCGGACTGGTCGGAAATGTGAGCACTTGTATTGTCATCGCCAAAATATCCTACATGCATACCGCCACCAATTACTACTTGTTCAGGTAATGACGATGTACAGTGTTTTTAAATAGACTGATCTGTTTACTTTAAGTAAATGAATGACGTTGATGAAAGTGTGGGTTGATTTAATCTGAATAAATTGGTGTGGATCTTGTTTCTATAGTTTGGCCATGTCGGATTTGCTCCTCTTGACGAGCGGGGTTCCACAGGTATTTGGATAATTAACAGTTTTACTAATTATGTGAGAATTGAAGGGAAATTTGCCGAGTAAAAATTACAGGAAAGACATTTGGTCCGATTTTCTGCAGAAATTTTACCAAATTTTCTGCTGCAAATGCAGAGCGATTTGTGCAGAAAACTTCAAATATGCGGAGAATTATTCACATACTATTGATGCAATTTTGCAGTTTTTAATGTGCCTGTCCCTGGTTGAAATTTTTAACCATTTTCTGCAGAAATTTTGCAAAATTTTCTACAAAAAACTGTATATGCTGAGCTATCTATTTGTGCAGAAAACATGCAAAATTTTGCACGTATGTACGATTCTGCCGAGTAAAACTTGGAAATTTTCTGCAGGATTAGTTAGAAAAAGAAGTACGCAGAATACAATACGCATCAAGCCTTTTGTCGATTACTGCAGAATTCGACGCAATGATTTCTACTCGGGTAAAATGAATCTAATTGGTTACATAATTCAACCAAAATTTCAGGAAATTTATCAAATTTGGGTCAAATATCCCTACATCTTTGGTGAACCTGTCTGTGTGATTCGCGGCTTGGCTGCGGAGACCTCGGCCAATGCGACGGTCCTCACAATAACGGCGTTCACGGTGGAAAGGTACGTCAACGTGGCGTCACGTCACTGCAAAATCTATTTAAGGAGAAAGAATCCTGCCTATTGTCTCTAACTTACTGTTTCTGGTTTGGTTTTTTTGTCAGATTTGTGGCCATCGTATATCCGTTGAAAGGGTACGTCACAATTTTATTTAAGGTCAAGCCAATTTCATTACTGCAGAGGAGTAATGTATATCAGTCAGTGGCCGCGGAAGCCGTGGGGGCATCTGGGGACATTAACAATGCAGGATAGGGGAGATAGCGGTTTATATACGATGACGATGAGCAGATGATGCGGACATCGAATATCCGTGGGGACATTATTCCTCTGCGTCCCCACGGTTCCGCGGCCACTGTACGTATAGTTTTTAAGGAGGAAACGTCCATATATTAGGTCATCGAAAAGGTGGGTGGGTGGTTTTGGGTTGCTTATCTTAATTGTGTTAAGCTTAACACGAGTAGGTTAGGGAAGGGGTCGGTGGGTGGTCTAAATCAGCGTTTTTTGAACATTCCAGGAAAAGTTAAGTAAGTCTGTCCCCATGTTTCGGCGGCCACTGCTCTTTTGACATTATCATCACTTGCCTGGTTTAGTATATAAAAAAGAAAGGAAAATGATTGTTTATTTCGCGTGGGGCATTGTCCCACCCTTCCGCGGCTCCTGACACATATAATGACCTACACGGACAGAGGAGCTAATTTCGTTAATACTGAACTCTGCCAATGTGTACTTTTCCTGCCACGCCTTCCTTGCCTCCACTCGGAGAGAATCAAGAGTCGCAACTTGCAGAGTGAAAGTGGAGAAAGGACTAATAATGACTTTGATAGAAGATTAGTTAGCGACGAATTGAGACTGAGTTGAAGAGAGGAAAATAATATGTGCCCTGGTTGGCTAGGTGTTCATTACTTAATTGCATTATGTTTGTTCTTTCAGCCACTTGCTTTCTCAACTGTCGCGCGTTATTCGGATGATAACCATCATTTGGTGTGTGGCGTTGTGCATGGCGCTCCCACAAGCTGCACAGTTCGGGATTATGGATAGTGTAAGTTTCCTTGCAAGTTACATGTATGCAATCTATGTAAATATAGCAGTGTTTCGGGTGAAAGTAACCACGTGCAAGAAATAACGGGGAGAAAGTAGTTTCTTGCAGCGAAATATTTTGACCTGCGAAACATGCAAGGCGCAAGAAATGACGCGAAATTTCGCTGTAGTTCATATGCCGCGTGGCTAGATGGCGCATATTTTTGCACTTTCTCCCAGTTTCTTGCACCTTGCATTTTTTACGTGATTTGCTTTCCAGTGCAAGAAATGTAGCAAACCCAAAAGAAAGTGGTTTTTAGGCCTTTTAAGATGGCCTTATAGATTTACCAAGATGTCTGTCTGTCCGTCCGTCTGTGCGTCCGTCTGTGCGCACGATAACTCTCTTTAAACAAAAGCTATCGACTTGAAATTTTGCACACTTCATCTTCGGGTCAAAAGTAAGGATGAGTTCGGAGATGGGCATGATCGGTCAAGTAATTGGCCGGTGGGGGTCATTTCCATCCAAATGCGTTGCCCTTAACTACCAAGAACCTTTAGAGCAGGTTAAATTATTTAAGTGTAAGTAAAATATTTGTAGCTTGAGAAATATCTATAGTAATAATTTTAAGTAATTTTAGTATGAAGATTGCGACTGACCTCAAAGCGTTTAAATTGGAGTGGAGTTTCAGAAATTTTAAACCTGGGAGACCCGATAGGGTGACCCGACGGATTTCTAAAATTTGTAGTAGGTAGTTGAAATTTGGAACAAAGGTTGCTAGTGGATTGTAACAGACAAAAATGAATTTAGGTTGGAAAAATTTTAATCTTGATGGACCCTATGGGGTGACCCATACTGATTTTTCAAAATCGTCATATCGAAGTGAAATTTGGGAGAGAGGTTGCAAATGGGTCTTAATGGAACAATATGAAATGAAATTGGTAAAATTTATATCTGATGCGGTTATCCATATCTATTTTTAGAAATTGCGTTAAAAACATGAAATCCGGCACGGTAATACTTACAATTAGTGGCTTCTCATCAAAGAATTTGAAATTAAAAGTTAGCTAACAAGGGATACTTTCGAGGTGATAGTCGTGTCCAGGGTACCACTCATTGGTCTAAATGTTTTTTGATCGAGTGTTTCTCACGGGTTCGGGTTCTTACTTCGGGTTTCGGGTTCGGATCGGGTTTGGGTCCTGCTTCGGATACGAAATTTTTGAACCCGAAACTTTCGGGTTCGGGCTCGGGTCCGAGAAATGTGATCCCAAAATTTCGGGTTCGGGTCGGGTTCGGGTTCCGACTAAGAACCCGAAACCCGAACCAACAAGAACTTTTTGCCACAACGAACACGAAAACATTAAAAAAGAAAATAAAGTGTTAACCAAACTTGCTACGACGGTTATGCTGCAGTAATTCATTAAATAATTCAAATTTTTAATTGTCGTAACTTCTTTTCACAAGTGTCTTCAATTAGTGTTATGGTTTGAATATTAAAATAAAATATATTTTTTATCAAAAATTTGCAAAATATTTAGCTTGAGCTTACTTTAATATTGGAAACTTGAAACTGAAAATCATTTTCAGTTTTCAACTGATTTAAAAATTTCTGAATGTCACGGAAAGCCATTATTCATGGTCGATTTTTTGAGATTGCATTATTATGGTCAAGGAATTAAGAGTTATGTACTTATGCAGAAATGTGCTTAATTATAATTCCTCGGTCATATTTACAGAAGTATTGTTTGTTTGAAACCTTCCAAAGAATTTTTAGCTAAAAAGCCAGTCACCCCTTAAAGTTAAAATATATTCGGGTTTTTCGGGTTCGGGTTTCGGATTTGATCCGCCAGTTCGGGTTCGGATCGTTTCAAACGGGTTTCGGGTTCTTCGGGTTCGGGTTGCCCTCAAGTTTCGGATCAGTGGCATCGGGTTCGGGTTCGGGTTTCGGATTTGCAAGAACCCGACCCGTGAGAAACACTAACCCATCTTCGAACTCGGTCGATGCCCAGATGCATGTCTGTATCAAATTTGGTAAAATTCAGCCTACTCCTTCGAGAGTTATGGAAAGACAGACAGACGGACAGGTCGATTACATAAGCCCTAGTCCGGGCTAAAAATTATATGCCAATCGTTCATTAGAGTCTGGCTTTTATGTAATAATGCCGTCTTAAAAGGCCCCGCAAAGTTGCTTGGAGTAGGTTTTGCAACTATTTTAACCTGCAAGAAATACAAGGCGCAACAAACTACGTCGCATCGCGTATAGTTCACACGCCGGCTAGATGGCGCACATTTCTTGCACTTTCTCCCACTTTCTTGCACCTTAATTTTTTTGCGTTTCTTGCATTACAGGGCAAGAAATGTAGCAAACTCGCAAGAAATGAAACACTAGAACATATAATTAGATCAACGAATGTACGTATTCGAAATGATCTTCATAGTTTATATGTACATATGCCCCAAATGGAGTGAATCTAATGATAGGCATACCTTACCTAACATGTCCAGTTTCTGGTTAGCGGATAAGTAGTGCTTATTCGGAATGTGAAGGTACTTTTGGATAATTGGGTCGTCATGTGGGTGGTGTAACGATAGCAGGCAGACATTGTGACGTTGTTATCCATCCACCAGGATATTCTCTACTCTGGCTTTTTTCAAAACTTGTGCTTTCACTCGAGTGAGTCAAGCTCAGGTCTTAGGAATTGATCATTAATCATATTTGACAAGGTAGACAAGGGATTCGTTACGAGTCTCAATTACCTCCAGAGAAGAAGACTTTATAATTATGTTTGAAAAGTTTTTACATGATGGAAAATATTAATGTGGAAATTATGATGGAGCTAGAAAATCAAATCAAATTTACGTACATGTCATTATACTCTAGGTAATGTTAAAGGATAATTAAAGTTCCATGGTATGCGGGCTATTTGAGTTTAAAGATTTGTGTCTCAACTTTCTTTTTAATATAGTGATTTTGAAAAGTGTTCGTCTCCTTGTTTTTATAAAAAAATAATTTTAAAATCAATAATTTTACAAAATTAGGAGGTTAGAATTTGATTTTTTTATTCCATGTGAAAATATTTACTTTTTACTTTTCATCTATTTTTTGTCTATTGTCTCATGCAAGATAAAAATCGAATTCTAACCTCCTAACTTTGTAGGTAAATCTAAAAATTATGGATTTTAGATACTATAAAAAAGTAATTTTTTTCAAAAAGCAATGACCAAGTCATTTTTTTATAAAACGCACGGAGATGAATCAAAATCACCATTATGCAAGAAGGGAAAGGTGAGGCACAAACATTTAAATTCAAAACCCGCATGGAATCATAGATCGGATATTTTGCGTACTCCGGCCTCCGAGTACTCCGGCCTCCGAGTACTCCGGCCTCCGGCTGGCCACGCGTACTCCGGCCTCCGCGTACTCCGGCCTCCAGAAAAAGTCGCGTACTCCGGCCTCCGGAGGCCGGAGTACGTACTCCAAGCCCGGAATTCTCGTATCTATGCGATAGGAAATTTTGCGTACTCCGGCCTCCGTACTCCGGCCTCCGGCCGGCCATGCCTACTCCGGCCTTCGCGTACTCCGGCCTCCAGAAAAAGCTGCGTACTCTGGCCTCCGGAGGCCGGAGTACGTACTCTAAGCCCGGAGTACTCCGATCTATGCATGGAATGGAACCTTAATACACTTTAGAATTTGTACATTTGTTGTTTCCTGTGATATTTTTCATGTTATCTTTTCATACATGCATATATATTTCTGTCTTTTATAATATTCAGGATTGCATGAAATTTCATACCGTACTGAATGGTACGGACTTGTATGTAATGCATATTCGTTATTTTAGTGTGAGCTAGATTGGGTTGGACAAGTAAAATTGAGCATGTACCCATCCACAAGAGGAAAGAGAAAGAAGGCACAAAATATTTATTTATCACTTTCCCCACCACTCGGATTTGATGTGTGGTGGTGACATGTACATATACCAAGAAGAAAGCGTGGCTTGGTTGGAATGTTGCCCAATCGGAATAATTAACGGGCACAACAACAACGCAGTCTTTTGTGTACATACATCCGTCCTGTTTCCCTTTACGCTACTTTACCTTGGGTGCTCCTCTCATGGTTGGGTGAGCCCGGCCAGACGGTCTGGCAATGCCAGAAAGGGGAGCCCTCGCAGAGTCCGTTCTCTGTGAGAAGATCCGACTCATCACCAGAGTTATATGGTGAGAAGGACAGTCATAGATTGGAAACCAGTTTGCTTTTAACTGATATCTGTTGACTTTAAAGGATTATTTTATTTTATTTTTATTTTACTTGTATAAATATACATCCACATAAGATCGCTGCGGGTCAGCAGAGCTGGGCAAAACACTTTACCAAAATAGAGTATTTTGAGCCCCGAGCTTCCCAGGGTTTGAATTTCTACGGGTGTTACACCCAAAAAAGGCGAAAATCTACGTGGAGAAAGCAACAGTCTTACGAAAATACAGGTTTTCTGAGTGGAAATTAATTTTTTATCACGGTTAAAATACGTTAATTTCACGATTTAAAAAAAACTAAAGTATTTTAGCAGCGAGAAAAAGTTAATTTCTTCACAAAACCAGTATTTGCGTAAGATTGCTGCTTTCTCTGCGAAGATTTTCGTCTTTTTGTGGGTGTAACAGCCGTGTAAATCCAAACCCTGGGAAAACCAGAGCTCAAAATCCTGTATTATTTTGACCAAGTATTTTGCCCACCTCTGCACGTCAACGTCACTAGTTACACACTAAAACCAAAGCCTGACTTGTATTTCGGAGAAAGCCGACATAATAGAAGCCACCCAGTGAATGAATGAGCACTATCCGGCTGAATCAGATACTGCGAACAATCCCAACAAATTATGTCGCATTATTATGAGTTGCGACATTCTGTGGGGAAAACTGGTCGTAAAATGTCTAGTTCATGATTTACTTTCACTAATGCAATCCCCATACGACACGATAAATACAGGACGAAGCTAACCCTACTGCTTATCGTTATTATTATTTTTATAGATGAGCATACACGCTCCTGAGAAAATTTTGATCAAGGGAGCTTGGTGCGCCCTGGTCAGGGAGATCTTTCCGTACGCTTTCCACATTTCTATTTGCGTCTTTTTCGTCATTCCCATGACCCTCATCACTGTCCTCTACATTCTCATCGGGCTGAAGCTGAGACGTTCGAGGAAAGGGCCGCTTAATCCGGAACCATATGCGAGAAATCAGCAGAGTCATGTTATCCGAATGCTGGGTGAGTATCGTTCATTTATTGCTTGCTTATATTTAGAATGTATTTGCGTCCTTAATTGTACACTCATGAAGAGAAATGAGTGAAAGTAATTACAAGGAGAAAGCTCTCTTGCTATTGATTTTGATTTGACTTTAGAGTGAGTGATAATTAGCGTATGCTCTCCGATTTTGGGCAAATTAGTGTGATTCGATGACAAATTTAGTTAGTATGAAATTTGGGAAGGCACCATCTCCCAATGGGCACGTTTTGCAGATATATTTGCATCCAAAGAGGAGAAAACACGCCTTAAAGGTGACAAATTTTACAGTCTCCCATTTACTGCGCGTTTTCTCCTCTTTGGATGCAAATATCTCTGCCAAACGTGCCCATTGGGAGATCGTACCTTTGGCAAATTTCGTACTAACCAAATGTGTCATCGATTCACACTAATTTGCTCAAAATCGGAGAGCATACATTGGGAGACTTCCATTGCCAGAAGGGCATGGATTTCAATCATTAATTTGAGAGAAAGTGAATGAACCAATGTCTACTTGAAAGTTGATTACGTATTTCTTGCAGCAAGATTAAAGAAATTTCACTTTTGAATTTTCTAGTCGCTGTTGTCCTGGGCTTCTTCTTCTGTTGGTCTGGATTTCATGCGCAGAGACTGGTACATACAGAGTAAAATATTGTCTAAATGTCAGCGTGTTACTTATGTTTTAAATATATGCTAAAAAACTTTCAGATGGCCTTGTATGCCACCTCCGTTGGAAGAGAAAACCTCTCCAACCTCTTTGTCACGGTGTACAAAGGACTTATGCACGTGTCCGGAATTCTGTACTATTTGAGCACGTGCATTAATCCGATTCTTTGTAAGACTTGGACAAGTTATTTCTTAATTAAACATTTGAATTTCTCGCAGTTGAAACCATTTATTTATTTTTAGATCACATTATGAGCAACAAATTCCGCCAAGCATTCCGGGTACCAGTCTCAACGATAAGATTATTAATTTTTCATTAAGGGTCCATTGCATGCGGGTTCTGAATTTAATTCGTTATGTCCCAACTTTCTCTTCTTCGGCGATTTTGAAACCTTTTAATCTCCTTGAGTTTTTTAAAAAATGTAGATTTTATTGCATCTAAAAATCGATAATTTTAAGGATTGTAAAGTTAGAATGTTGATTTTTTATTCTAGGAGAAAATAGAAATAAAATAAAATAGATGAAAAATAATAAGAAAATTTAAATATTTTTCATGGAAGAAAAAAATCAAAATTATAACTTCGTAACTTTGTAAATCTAAAAATTACGGATTTTTTGACGCAATAAAATCTTCATTTTTAAAAAACACACGGAGATGAACAGGTTTCAAAATCGCCATTGGAATACATGACAAAAGAGAAAATTGAGACAAAAATTTGACTTCAAAACCCGCATACAATGCCACCTTAAAAGAAACTATATCCACATCTTTTTCCTATTTATGCACTTAATTGACAGGACGCAATCCAACAATTCTGCGGTCAAGACTCCGACGACCCCACCTTTCACCACCGCAACTACTCCGCCATGTCCCGCCGCTCTGTACGACTCGGTTATCTGAACCATTACAAAAGTGGGAGCAACAATTCTCTCGTCACCGTCGGAACCACGACGCCCATTCCGACGGGAAATTCCTTGAGAAAAACGACCACCACCACGACGATGTCAAACTCTCCCGCAAATGCGAAATCCTGCCACGGTTTGTTAGCCACGATTGAAGAAGCCTCGTCGGACAAACGGCTCGAACTGGATTTGAGTTCTACAGGTTCACAAAATGAAGAAACCACTACTCCCAATTCCAAACCAACAAAGAAATCTCATCAGAATTTAAATCGGGACAAAATTGTGAGTGGGCGAAAATCGCAATCAGAAAGTGGGATTTGCTCAAAGAGTGAAAGTGAGCAGACTTTAACGCTGAGTGAGTCGATGAGTCCCTGTTCGGAAATTGTGATCATGCCGGCGACCACGACGACGACCACATTGTTGGAGAAGAGCAGTAGTAGTAATAAAAGGTGCTATTTTACTCGATTTCGTCGTCATCCTCATCGTCATTTACATTTGCCTACGCCGGTGTAATCTATTTTTGTGTAAACTAATTCTTTATTCTAATGCTCTCTTCTTCTTCCTCATACACTTTACTAAATCTCTGTAATATCCAGTGGCCGCGGAAGGTGTGGGGACATGTGGGGACATTAACATTGTAGGATAGGGGAGGGAGGGATTTATATAACATGATGTGGACATCGAATAACCGTGGGAACATTGTCCCTCTGTCCCCTCCACGCTTCCGCGGCCACTGATAATACGTATCTAACAAATATTAATTAACTATGTGTACCTTGATGTAATCTCTAACCGTATTAATACTCTGACTTCTTTTGCTCTGTCGCTGTCTCACTCATGTGCATACATGCAAATGTATATATCTATATGCGTCATGTAAGTCTGTCCACTTTCACTTTTTTTCGGGTTGCTTTCACTTGGCTTTAGAGTGGCTTTAGAAATGCTTCTGTCGTCATGATTTAGTAAATAGATTCGTTTCAAAATAAATTTTTATAATTTTGATTTTTCCAGGAGTTCCTCTCTCACAACGGATAAGCAAAGATATTAATGGCTTAACTTATGTAACTGATAACCGACACTCAAGAGGTACACACCTTTGTCGGTACATGAAGTAAGTAATTATAGAATTTTGAAAATCTGCATTTCAATCAAAGTGTTGAGAATTTTTAAACTATAAATGTTTGAAATTTTCAGTGAAACTTGGACTATTTACCTTGAAGACCATTTGAATATGACAATAGAGGACTTTTAAGCAGCATTTCTAACAGATTTGCTCCAAATATATATATAAATACATTCCATTTTATATAATTTATGAAAAAGCAAATTGTGAATTTAAAAAGTGATTCTCATTTTTCTCTTGTGGTCATTTATTATTTAAATTTGTTTTTAATAACGTGGATAAAATACTTAAAATAGTTAAATGTGATTCATCTATGTAGAATTAGTTGTATGCTTACTTGTACTCATTTGAGTTTAAAAATGTGTATGTATATTTTATCAGGATATCAAGAAATAAAATACTTAATGAATTGTGCGAGTCTAGTTTTCGTCAAAGTCCATTAATGGATTTCGTCTCGTACTCGTGTCCCCAAAACCCATGGGGGGAGGCATTTCTAAGTCTTGATAGTCGTCATTTTCATTGTCGGAGTAATTCCTTGGAGCATCAGATTCACTTTCGTCGTGATGAATATCGTCATTGTCAAGGTCTTCATGCCCAGACGAGCCATAGCTTTGCGGGTTGTAACGAGAGTTTTGATTGTCGTGAGGAGTGTCGCCGTAAAGGTCGTCATCCTCGTCTTCGTAGGGATTTCCGGTTTCTTTGTAATCCTTAAAGTCCTGGTCGTCTTCGACACCTAAATTAAATAGTCATTCATGCTAAATACTTGTTTACATTGGTAGATAATTGATTAGGGTGCAATTAGAAAGTAACCACTGCAAGAAATAACGGAAAGAAAGTGGTTTCTTCCAGCTAAACATTTTGACCTGCAAGAAATGCGAGGCGCAAGAAACGACGCCGCCGCCGCTATACTTCATTTCATAGCGCGTGGCTAGATGGAGCATATTTCTTGCACTTTCTCCCAGTTTCTTGCACCTTGCATTTCTTGCATTGCTTATTTTGTAGTGGAAGAAATGTAATAAATTTGCAAGAAACGAAACACTGTAGGTTATTGTATATGTCCAAATTAAATATTCCGTACCTATTAAGACAGACCCTCCGCTGCCGATACTAAATATATATACAACCAGGAGAAATTAGTTAGCAACGAACTATGTACAAATTGTCAGACGAGCTCTCACCTTTCTGCATCGAAGGCAGGAATTCTCTTCTCATTATCGCCCGGATTTGTCGTCCACATTGGATTAGAGCCTTGAATTGCAAATTCATTCGTGTTCGGGAGGTCCAACACGGCTCCGGAACGATTTAATCCGGAAGTTTGTGACCCGAACGTGGTCGCCGTTAGAGCCCGCACTCTTCGAGTCAGACTGTATCGTGGTAAAAATGATGATTAGTAAGTATGCGAATATGCGAATTTTTATATGCGAATATATATTTTTGTTTACAAAAACTCTGCCAAATTTGGTTTAATATGCGAGTGGAAATAATTTATAAATTAATTTCGTTCACCTTCTATTGTTGAAGTAGCACGATGTTGAAAGAACAATGAGAACGACGCCCAGCAACCCGACGCCACCGATGAGAATGTAAATGGTGAGTTGATTCCCGTCGTCGCTGCTGGTTTGAGGTTGACCGATTCCGTCAGGAGCTAGTGTGATGCCAACATTGGCCAATTCTGCGAGGAGCCTGGTATACGCTTCTGGATTGAATTGGAGCCTAAAATATTATGTATTTAATGAATTTATGTAAGTATGTACTGGGATTAAAGGTTATTTGGTGATTTTTTTTACTGTTCGATGAAGCTTCCTGTTATCTGAAAAGGGTTTATAAAAATGCAAATTGTAAATGTATATTCTTTTATAGTTTAATGTAGGACTGGATGATTGATCGTCAAAATGAGCAGATTATTAATGATTTCTCAGCTGTGGGAATTTATTTTAAAATTCTGGAAAAGTAGGGCAGGTCGTTGCGAATTTTTAGAAATCTACTCTCCAGATTTTGACACTTTTTGAAGAAGGAGGTCTCCAGTTGAGGAACCCTCCAAAAAATTGGAACTCGTCGAAACTAGACTAAAAAACTCATGGTCATTCTCACTGACTACAAATTTGTCGTTCAGAATTTTAAAATAAATTCCCAGAGGCGAGAAATGTGTAAATTTTGACGATTTTGCTACGTTAACAGTTGAAATTGAATGTTTTACGTACAGGTTCATTTGTCGTGAGGTCGATGAAATGCGTGTATGCGACGGAAGTATTGTACGCATCGACCCTTTCATCCACTCTGTCCACATTGCAGCGATATCGAAATGCGGCGGACAGGGCTTCAGCCAGCTAAATAAAATCAAACGTGATTCCAATTAAGAAAAAAAAATATGCAATTAAATCAAGCCTGCGAGCGATCCCCTTTTCAGAAAGCTTGGGAATTTTTTAGAAATTCATAACTGAAAATTGGACGGCCGTTGTTGTTCCTAAAAAATTTCCTGAAAAATTTGTAGCGATTCGACCGGTCAGATATTCCGCAAATATCCAATTTCAATTTTGAAAATTTTGAATTTTTTCGAAAAAAAATCCCAGGCACGCACTACAAATTGGGATTTCTTCCGGAACAGGGCATCGTTTAGGCTTGAATTGTATGCAAATTTTTAGTAGTACAAGCTTACCCGAGCAGACTTATCCTGAACTTCCTCCCGGCGATTCAAAAAGGTAAAAGTGACCACGTTGCTTTCCTTAATCATGTACAATTTACACTCAACCGTAGAGCTAAGCAGACCTGTGTAAATATTGTTATTAATTAGCTGAATATTTAATGGTAGATTTAAAATTTGCATATTTAAGTAAGTAGATAATGACTCGCCTAAATCAGTGGCCGTAATGGTGAATGTGAAATGCCCCTTCATCGTGGGCTGTGGGGTGAAGGTCAACTGTAAACTGACGGACGTGTTGGTATTGTTCGTCAGTACGAAGGGGGGCATGCCCACATTCGATAAAGATTCATCAGAGGCGACAAAGCTAAATTGGGAAGAACATATCGTCGTTGAAGCTGCCAAAGGAGCTAAATCCATTTTGTGTTAAATGCCAAAGGAGCCTTCTCAATGTTAAGTTAGATAGATTAGGCTCCTTTGGAATTTAACACAAAATGGATTTAGCTCCTTTGGCAGCTTCAACGACGATATTTAATTTCAGACATTTGCAGAACTAGGCATTTCGTTTTGGACGTCCAAAACCATTTTGGACACTGTCCAATCCAAAGTGTCCAAAATAGTGAAAAAAATTGGACATCCAAACTGTCCAAAATTGGCAAAATGTTACAAATTATTCTTTAACAGCGACTTTTTTTTCTTACAAATCTCCCATTAATTTTGAGCATTTTTTGTATGTAAGACCACGAAATGTGGGGACAATTTTATTTTACCATGTTTTTTTATGAGAATTTAAGAAATTTTTTAAACCATGCCTTATTTCGGATCAAAATGCTCAGAGATTATATTTACATCTGTGCATATCTAGATTTGTAAAAAAAACTTGTAACATTTTGCCCCATTTTCTAGTTTGTACGCTTTTAGACATTTCGGACGTTTAAAAAGTCGGTGTCTGGAACGGGTTAAAACCGCTTTTTTTAACATGTTTCCTTTTTTTACCAGTGGTTAAAACCACAGCGAAACACTGGCGATAATTCTTTCATCATGTATTTACTCACGTTTCAGAAAGTGTAAACGTAACAAAGTCAAAGTCATCGAGGTCAATCACGGAAATTCCGGCGATTGATTCTTCTTGATAATTTTTTGCGGAGAATCCCCCGGAAATAATGCCACCCTCGGACGCCTGTGGAAATTGGGGATGAGTATCGAACAGATTCCCGACTTCGATGATGATCAAGAGGTACGCGTTGCTGTCGGGGATTTGACCGGGGTCAATCTCAGCGGTTGGAGGGGTCGGATTATTGCTACAGTACAGCACTACTCGATGCTCTTTGATAAATTCTCTGTCGAGGGGCTGGGTGGTGACGATGTAAGTGACGTTTTTTCCATCTTCGGTTCGAATATCCAAGTGAAAATATTCCTTGCTTCCACCTGCGTAAAAAAGTACACATTTTAGATATTCTATTAAGTGGGGTCAGCAGCCGTTTATTGTGATCGTTTTGTCCGTCCGTTTGTCTGTCCGCCCCTCAGCAGAATATCTCCAGAACGCCTCAACATAATCAAACGCAGTTTTCGCCATCGTGCTTCTACTTTTTAGCTCTCAGCCGGGTTAGAAAATGGGATCAATCTTGGGCGCTAGTGGGTGTGGTCCAAAATTAAATTAACCCTTAACTTTCATATGGGGCTTCATTTTAAAGGAAAGGTGGTGACCGGGCTAGGTATCATATCCGGCCAATTACTTTTTCTCGGAATATTTTTGCGGCATCAGCAAGCATCAGTATTGATGTTCAAAAATATATGTCGATGAGCTCCGTGGCATTCTTCACCACGAAATCAACCCCGTCAATATTTTTGACCTCCGACCAACCAACAATCGTGAGGACGAGGTCAGAGGTCAAAAATACATGATTTTCAGATGTGGTGTCATTTTACGTTTTATTTTTTGTATGACGCCAGTTTTTTATGTCTGTTTGAGCCGGTTTATTTTGTCAAATTTTTGGATAAGCGTGCAAAAATATGATGGTCTTACCCACGATGAAGTAATAAATGGTGCCCAGGTCTATGCCCGGGATATCGGTCGAGTCTGGATCAAAAGCTGACACGATCTCGTGTTCAGCCCCGATGGCATTTTCAATCAGAGTGATCTCCACGGGAGTGGTGTCGTTAAAATATGGCGGTCTGTTCTGCTCGGGACGAAGGAAAAATGTCATCCTAGATTCCGACCACCTGGGAATTACGCCACGGTCTTGGGCTCTGATGTAGAGCTAAAATACAGGAAAAATCCGATAAGGTCCGCTTTTTAGGTATGTTTCCAAATATGTAAGGGGATATTCATAAATTACGGTACGGCTTAGGGGGGTGGATTTAAAGATGGAGTTTGTCCGAGTCAGGCCGATAATGATATATATCGTCATATTTGTCAATCTGACCATCCAATTTGTCACAATTTCAATGTGATCGATATTTACGGAAAAGTTGGATATTTATGACTAATGCCCGTCAAATTATAATGTGACGGACAAATTGGTCATTTGTGACAAATATGATATAACAAATTGACAATTTGAACTTTTCATATTTATCATGAATTTTGATATCTGACAAATTGGACATTTCTGACATGTCAATTTGTCAGTGACATATCACGACGCCACATCCTTAGCTGGGGTTAAAGTTTTTTTACAGCTCCATTTACGCCATATGTTAAAGGGGGGGGGGAACATAGTAAAAGGGATAGAGGATCTAAAAAAAGGCATTTTTACGTCACATAATTTATGAACGTTCCCTTAACCATACATTATGACGTGATTTGGTGTCATCAAGAGGCTCCCGTAATATAATTTGTCCTATTTCACTGACTGTAAAGTACTGAAATCCATCATCTGTGAAGAAAAGAAGTAATTTTAATAAGTGGGGTCAATATTCTGGATCAAATATGCAAAGTTGTGTACCTTCATCCTCCTCATTTTCGACCGTCATATACCAAACTCTTGAATTGTTAGATAAAGGATCATCTACATTAAAATTTTAAAATGCTGCATTTACAAAATTAACTACGGAAAAAAAACTTGACGTTTTCCGATGTCACCTTTATCTTCGGCATAGCAGCGGTTAACTGGGTTGCCGTCCCAGTCATTTACAGGTCCGGGGTCCAAGTTCTTATAATAAAGTTTAATATTAGTTGGACACAGCAGTGTTGCTTAATTACTTGAGTTTGTAATTAATAAATAATTACTTAATGGCATCCGACGACAGAAAGTAATTAATTACTCAATTATTAATTGCATCCGTCGGGTAATTAATTACAATTACAATTACTTCCGTCAAAAAGAATGAAAAATTAGTCTTCACGATCGTCTAATAACGATCTCGAACGAAAATCAAGATTGTATCTAATATGCATTCTAATTTGGAGCAATCGAGTAATTAATTACTTTGTTACTCAATTGAAGCCAATTAATTAATTGCTAATTACAATTGCCACAAAAGTCAATTACTAATTACTTTCTCGATTTTTCTTGTAATTAATTACTACAACACTGACACACAGGAATAACTAGACGCCAATTAAAGGGACAGAAGCTTACCAAATTAATGATGATACTGGTTGTATTGGTTGGCAGTGGAAATATAAATTCTGCAAGCATGTACGCCATTTAATCATAAATGTTGTTAATTATTAGTTAATTAATTGAATACCTGGCGTGTTCAAATTCTCGTCCAGAATTTTAATGGTGTAATCTCTCGGTGTAATTCTGGGCGGATCGGCTTCATCTTCAGCCTAAAAGTAATTGTTTAAATAGTACATGTAATCCCATGTTTTAACGTAGGACTAATTGTCGATTACGTATCGACAAAATCCGCACATTCTAAATCATTTCTCAGCTCTAGGAATTTATTTTAAAATTCTGGTCGACAAATTTGTAGAGCAGGGAGTTGCCAATTTAAAAAAAAATATACACTCCAGATTTTGACACTTTTTAAAGGAAAAGACCTCAAGTTTAAGAAGCCTTCAGAAAAATTGAAACTCGTCGAAACTGGCTTAAAAAAAACTCCTACTAATCAATTCACCGACTACAAATTAGTCGTTCAGAATTTTAAAATAAATTCCCAGAGTCGAAAAATGATTAAAAATGAGTCCGATTTGGATTGTTGAACGTACTTCAAAACTGACAACGTAAACGCCCCATTCACCCGTGAGATTTCTTGTCGCTATAATTGGCAAGATCTTTTCGCCTCGACCTGTCCCGACTTCCAGGGTTCCAACTCGAAATGGAAAGCTTTCTTCGGGCATTGGCTTGTCGTCTTTGGTGATTCCAGTAATCCGCACACTGAACTGGCCATTCACCAAGGAGGGATCATCTCGATCACTGGATTATCAGAGAAAAAAACATGGTTGTATGTACGTATTTATATGCAAATTATCTATGTGCATACAGTAATTATGTACCGAATAGTGATGGTTTCATTCAACGGTTTGTCGACTTCAGGCCACGTTTCGTACGGTTCGGACAGAGGATCATCTGCAGTCAAGAATTCTGGTGCGTTCGTATTCGCATCTACAAAGTTCACAAGGACATAGTTATAATAAATTCTTGTTGATGTGTTTCGGGTGCTGGTAAGGAGAATTAGAGGCAAGAAAGTGTTTATTTTGCAGGTATTTTGCCTTGCACGAAATACAAGGGGCGAGAAACTATGTCCCGCCGGTCACGCTTCATACCGCGCGTGGCTAGATGGCGCGCATTTTCTTGCAGATTTTTGCACCTTGCATTTCTTGTAGTTTTTTACACCTCGCATTTCTTGCGTTGCTTCCTCCCTCGCATTTCTTGCAGTTTTTTGCATTTCTTGCATGGCTTGCTTTGCCAAACACAGCAAGAAAAAAAAGATATTGATTCATAGGTTTCATTTTGATTCGTAGTTATCACCTTGAATAGTAACAATGGTCGTGGTTGTGTTAGGATTGGAAGGGGCTGCACGAAATGATAAAAAAATTGAGACAGTTATAATCTTTAAGGTGTAAATGTGTAATAAACTAACGGAATCCAGGCCGGTAGTTATCTGTGGCTGTTATCGTCACGGTGTATTCCGGCTGCTCCCACCATTCGAAGGGTCCCACGACCGTTAAAGCGCCGGATGTTGGATTAATAGCAAATTTCGTATTGTCCACAGTTTCGTCAAGAATGTAGGTGATTTTTCCGAATTTGTCTGTAAATTAAATTTACTGGGGTGTAAAAATGCACCAATTTATTATTGGTTAATACCTTCTTTATCCGCATCGGTTGCCGTATAGGTTGCCACCAAGTGTCCAGCTTGGGCCAGTTCGGGGACATTTACTCGAGGATGAGTGACGGTCCAAATGGGGAAATTGTCATTTATGTCGTTGACAGTGATAATAATCTGTTGGGAAGTTTCCATTTTTATCAGATTTCTACTTATAATGGAGGTCTCCCAGCGGATGCTCTCCGATTTTGGGCCAACTAGTGTCAATCGATCACAAATTTAATTTGTATGAAATTTGCAAAAGACACGATCTCCCAATTGGCACGTTTGGCAGAGATATTTGCATCTGAAGAGGAGAAACGAACCGTAAATATTACACTTTCTAAATAGAAAGTGTAATATTTGGCAACTTTTAGTCGTGTTTGCTCCTCATCGGATGCAAATATCTCTGCAAACGTACCCATTTGGAGATCGTGCCTTCCGAAAATTTCGTTCTATTTAAGTTTCTTCTAGATTGACGCTAGTTTGGCCAAAGGTACGGTAGGAGACCCCCATTGTTATTTTTAGAATACAAAAATCATTTTTTGTGGATCTTACGGTAACGGAAGCCGAGTTGGTGCATTGCTCATCGTCACATACGGTGACACGGTATTTTAACTCGTCTGTTGTCCTACCTTGATAAAATTTGGTTTCTTCCCTGTCAATCAGGACACCCTGGGTCCGATGTAGTGTTGCCTTTTGTGGGCTGGTAGGAAGTGGAGGAAGCAACGTGACCAATCCCAAATACTCGTCACAATCCTGGACACACCCGACTGGCCTGAGTGTAACAATTTTGAAATATGTAACACTAGCGTATAAGCCCGTCTCACGCCGGGCGAAGGGCTTATCTGATTTTCGTGCAAATTAAGTGGTATTGTTCATAATTCCACCGAATTATTTTTGTATTTTATATATATTATTAGGCAACGGAAGTGAAACTATCCCCACTTTCACTTCCGTCACGGAAAATTACTTTCACTTCCGTTGCAGACAAACATTTCCAGCTTATAATATAGAAGAGAAGATAATTCCTTCGGCGTATTTGTATGTAAAAATGCAAATCTTACTCGATGCTGAATGAAAATTTGGAATTCAAGTCTCTATCGTGCACGCGAAAGGCATAAATTTCCCTTTGAGCATCAGTCGATGTGTCGCCTTCATCCGGAAATGGTTCCGTTTCTTCAATTTGCGTCAAAATTTCTCGAGCGTCGTTAATATCTTCAAATTCGGCTGGAAAAATTTAAGCAGTTAAATCTGCACGTTGGTAAAATTGAATGCTTAATTAATTACGTAATTGATCGTTAATATCAACAATCCGGATATTAAGGGTTGATGTAACTTCATTCCCTGGGATCCACTCGGCCTCCGTGGTGTTCATGTCTGTCACCGCGATTACAAGTTCGACTCGATCCACGCCCATGTCGGTGAGCTCACGGTCAATTTTCTCCTGACCGTAGACAAGTCGGGCTTTAACGTTGGTGGGATCGTCCTTGATAATTGGGCCGATAGCAAACCATCTGCAGATTTGGGGAAGAAAGTTTAGCTTATCAGTTAACCGAGTCAGTGTTTCGGGGTGAAAGTAGATAACCACGTGCAAGAAATAAAGAGAAGAAAGTGGGAAATATTTTGACCTGCGAGAAATGCAAGGCGCTAGAAACTACGGCGTGTGGCTAGAGTGCGAATATTTCTTGCACTTTCTCCCAGTTTCTGGCACCTCGCATTTCTCCCGTTTCTTGCTTTCCGGTACAAGGAATGTCGCAAATCCGTAAGAAATAAAATACTGGATGCACTTTCTCCCAGTTTCTTGCACTTGCATTTCTTGTATTTCTTGGTTTGCAGTGCAGCAACCTCGGAGAAACAAACGCTGGGTGAAAGTGGTCACTGCTGACCACGTGTTTCGGGTGAAAGTAACCGCTTGCAAGAAATAACGGGGAGAAAGTGGATTCTTGCAGGGAAATATTTTGACCTACAAGAAATTCAAGGCGCACGAAACGACGCCCCGCCGCCATGAATACTTGATACTGCGAGTGATTAGATGGCGCACTTTTCTTGCACTTTCTCCCAGTTTCTTGCACCTCGCATTTCTCCCGTTTCTTGCAAGTATATGATTATTATTTTAGAAATATGTGCGTACTTTTTAATGGTCTCGGAAGGATCTTCATCTTGAAAAAATATTTGTTCATATCGGTCAGATGAGTAAGACCTGAACAGCTTCGTGTCTTCCCACTTAATAGAAATGTCCAGATTTGGTTCCAAGTCTCTTGATGAGGCAATAATATCCGACAAATTTGCTATTGGAGCCCCCGGAGTAGGTTGTAATCCTTCTTCGACAAATATTTGAAATTGTGGCTGTTAAAGAGTAATGAATCATTTAGTAACTTACAATGGAGGTCTTCCAGCGGATGCTCTCCGATTTTAAGCAAACTAATGTCAATTGATCGCAAATTTAATTAGTATGAAATTTGCAAACGACAAGATCTCCCAATGGGCACGTTTGGCAGAGATATTTGCATCCGAAGAGGAGAAAACGCGCCTTAAAGTTGACAAATTTTATACTTTCTAAATTTAATGCGCGTTTTCTCCTCTTCGGATGCAAATATCTCTGCCAAACGTGTCCACGTGGGAGATCGTGTATAAGGCAAATTTCGTACCAATTAAATGTGCTATCGATTGACACTAGTTTGCCCAAAATCGGAGGGCATACGCTGGGAGACCTCTATGGTCAGTCATCTTATCATACGTACGATAACCTGGTAAAGGAAGAAAGCGGAAAAAATACCAAGCGAAGTTCAAAGTTTAAATCGTTGTGGTCCAGAATGACGAATGTGGCGGTGACTCTTGACGTCCGAGCACTTTCGGTATCTGTTGCTTCAATGGTGAAAGATTCACGTTCGTACATTTCACGATCAAAATTTCGTACTCCTCCCGCCAAATTGATCGCCATCGTGCCTAAAGTTGGATTCACGGCGACCGGTGGCATTCGAGAATACCAAGAGTACCTGATTTCTGATTGGCAAATTTGTTATAAAATTATTAATTGTGCATGATTACAAATAAACAGTGGCCGCGGAAGCGTGGGGACAAAGGGACAATATCCCCACGGTTATTGGATGTCCCCATCGTCTGCCCATCTTATATAAACCCCACCCTCCTCTATCCTACAATGTTAATGTCCCCACGGCTTCCGCGGCCACTTAAGAGATATTCCATAGTAATGAGATACAGTGGCGGCGGAGGTGCGTGGACAGAGGGAGAATGTCCCCACGGTTATTCGATGTCCGCATCATCTGGCCATCTTATATAAACCCCTCGTATCCTACAATGTTAGCGCCCCCTAGATGTCCCCATACCTTCCGCGGCCACTGCGATTAAATGCAGCGACTCGAACCAACCTTTAAATGCTGGAGTTATGTCAGCGTCCTCTGCAACAACTCGTAACGGAGTCGACGTCGAACCCCAGTTTTTACAAATTAAAGACGTTGGATCGCTTCCAGGTGCGGTCAAAACGTTGAGCGCCGTGCCATCTGGGGTCTCCTCGCAAACGTGGAATACATACTCTCCGCCGACCTCGAGATTAGTGAAGATGGGGCTGAAATGGAAGGAATGATGTAGATATTGGGAGAAGGTGAAGGTGAAAGCAGGCGACTTTCACTTACTCGTTGTCATTCACATCCGTCACTCTCAGATTTATTGTGGCCGTGGCGATGTGGGCTGGGTTTTGTCGGCCTGTGAAGATAACCTGTAGAAAGGGACAAGTTTTAATCATTACTGTGTACGTACAATGCGATGGTGACAAGTGTAACACTGGGATTTTGTTGAAATTTTGGAATTATGATGTTCAAGTTAATTCTAGCCCCACGTTTCTCGAGGAAGTTCGCGCGATGGTCAGAAGTTATCAAAAATTTTCAGGGTCAAAGTTGAAAAGTGGTTGATTTTTACCAGACAAACTCAAGTTTGCTTCCTGCGCCTGATAAAAATCGCACATTTTTCAACTTTCACCAACAATATTTTGATAAATTTTGACCATTGCACAAACTGCCTGAAGAAACATTGATTGTATTGATTTGAACTCCATAATTCCAAAATTTCAACAAAATCCGAGTGTTTCACTTCACACCATCGCATTGTTTGATATTTTTATTATGTAGCATTTTATAGTAATGGAAATACATCGAATGTGTGCTGCCTCGGAACGGGAGCATCGTCGACAAGGTGCCACCAAAAGGCTCCAGTTTCATAGTCCAACTGTTCCGAACTTTGTACAGCAATGGAACATTCCGTGATGCTGGAGCCAGAAACGGGCTGACTTCTGAATCCTGCTCGAATCCGGGGATCCGTGTTGGGACCAAGGGCGATATCGTATTGCGAAAAAGAGAAAGTCTAAAAGTAAAGAAATTCTATGTTCCACCGTGAAGGCACATGTATATGATCCCAAAAAATCAGAGGTCATACATACGCCGCAGATAAATTTTAGTTTATATCTCACAATGCGATGGTGTGAAGTGTAACCCTCGGATTTGGTTGAAATTTCGAAATTAAGTGGTCCATGTCAATACAAGCAACCTTTCTTGGGGCAGTTTGTGCGATAGTCAGAATTTGGAAAAATATTTTAGGTCAAAGTTGAAAAACTGGCGATTTTTCCCAGGCGAAAGAAGCAAACTCAACTTCCATTCTCTTTCCGTGCTAAAAATCGCACATTTTTCAACTTTGACCTCAAATATTTTGACAAATTCTGACCATCGCACAAACTGCTGCAAGAAACGTTGGTTGTATTGGCATGGACCACTTAATTTCAAAACTATTTCAACCAAATCCTAGGGTTACACTTCACACCATCGCATTGTTAGAGTATTTAATAACAATAGTTATTATTATTAAATATACTTCTAAGGTTTATATTCCTTCAAAATTTAGGACGCCGAAAATTTGTCGGTGTGGAGTGGACCTGTGGTCGAAATAAAATTTAAGCTTACCGAGTCAAGGTCTCGAACAATGAATGGTAAATTAAGCTCCAATTCTCCCGTGTGTGTTTCCGGAATGTCTACGGTATACGACTGTGATCCGGAACATGCCGTTGTTGCGTCTGGATTCGGGACAATACACACTTCGGGTGGGTTATCCTAGAAAGATAAGGGCTAATTAATAATGTAAAAGACAGTGTTTCGTTTCTGACGACACTTTTTACACTTCGAAGAAAGCCACGCAAGAAATGCGAGGTGCAAGAAACTGAGAGAAAGTGCAAGAAACTGAGAGAAAATGCAAGAAACTGGGAGAAAGTGTAAGAAACTGGGAGAAAGTGCAAGAAACTGAGAGAAAGTAACTGGGAGAAAGTGCAAGAAACTGGTAGAAAGTGCAAGAAACTGGGAGAAAGTGCAAGAAACTGGGAGAAAATGCAGGAAATATGCGCTATCCAGCCACGCACCGTAAGAAGTACATACTACGCCGGGGCGTAGTTTCTTCCATTGCTTGCAGGTCAAAATATTTCCCTGCAAGAAACCACTTTCTTCCCGTTATTTCTCCCAATTGGTTACTTTCATCCGAAACACTGACAAACGATGAATTCAAAATAACGTACGGAGCTCAACTTACATTTAAATCTTTGATGGTGATCGTAATAGTGGCGGATCTTTCTAACGGGATGAAACCCTCCTCCTCCTCCGGTGGAATTTCTCTGGCCGTGACGACCACATCGAACATGAGTGTGGTCTCGTAGTGCAAAAGCATTTCCGCGTCGATCGTATTGGCCACAAGGATTTGTCCGTCAGAATTAATTGCGAATAGTTTCGGGGTGTTCGGATCGGCATGAGCTGATGGAAAAGATACATATTTCATTCGGTTCAGACTCATGCATGTCATTCATGGATTTAAAAATATGTGAGGATTAAACACTATTTTTCCATACTTTCCGTAAGAATGTACTCGATTGGCCAGTTTTTCCCAAGATCTCCATCCCGTGCTGTTACAAGTGCGACGTCTTGGTTCTAATAATGTCAGAAACAAAAATTAACTGATCTTAATACATTTGTTCATAGGACTAGATAACTCATTAACAAAATCGCTAAAATTCTGCACGTTTTTAACCATTTCTCGGCTCCGGGAATATATTTAAAGGACAAATTTGTAGTGCAGGTCGTTCATGCCGATTTTTAAGAAATATACACTCCAGATTTTGACACTTTTCGAAGGAACAGATCTCAAGGTTAAGAACCCTTCAGATTGAAACTGGCTTAAAAACTCGTCGCCATTCAATCAATCAACTCATTGCCGGGTACAAATTCGTCGTCCAGAATTTTAAAATAAATTTCCAGAGAGGGTAAATACTTAAAAATGTGTTGATTTTGGCAATGCGGCATCTGGTCCTAGGTTAAATAGGATAGCGTAATATTTAATGTACCAAGGGTGTATTTTCATCCACGGTAAAACTTGTTGGTAGCTGAGTAAATTCGGGTTGTTCATCGGGCAGGTCTTCAACTTGTATGGTAATTTGAACTGAATCGTTCCTTCTGCCGGAGTCCTAAATGTTCGTTGGGATTAATTATTTCCAAGATTTTGAATACGTAAATTTGAAAATATTCTCCTTACAAAGACAAATAGCTCCAACCGGTGCATGGAGGCGGACCGATAATCTAACGATTTAATGATAAATAATTCCCCGGAAGTGGGATCCATGCGAAAAATTGGTTCATTTCCACCTCCAATTCGGTGCTAAATTTTTTTAATTGGAACCATTCTAAATTATTTTATATACATGGATTATTAATTAATAGTTTAAGTAAATACTTACGACGAATTCGAAGGTTAATCTGTTTTCGTCGATCTTATCCCTGTCCGACGCTTCAACTTTGGTTATCGGAGTTAGTGGTGGAGGCTGCAGAAACAAATAAATACTTGGTTGGTAGTATGCACTCTTAAATTTGCATGTACGCCAGAGGTCAACGCTACCGGACGCCGGTACCATTTTAAGCACCACCTATAAATCTGACTCCCTATTCCGTCAACATTGAGACGCCACGCCACGACACGCCATGGGATCCCACGCTACCCCACGCCACGGCACGTCTGGTAACGCCAATCCACGCCACATTACGCCATGCCACACTACTTTACGCCATGCCACCCCACGCCACACCGACATCGAAAAATCGCCAATATTGTCGCCGCCACCGTAAAATTGGTCGGCATTGACCCCTGATTAATACACGCTTGTTAGTTATTTTGCAAAGACTCACCTCATGTTCGTTGTAAGGATTGTTCAACTCTCCGTCGGGATTGTTAGTTATCAAAGGGTCGTTGTCGTTCACATCGCCGACCTCGATGATGACCCCCCTTTGAGTTGCCCCGTGCCGAAGACCGATTAAGTAAGAGGGATACTCTTCATAGTCGAGGGGACCATCTTGTATCAAATGCCACTCTGAGCCTACCAATTCCACCCTAAAGTCCGTCGAGGGTGGATTAATACTTGTTATTGTTAATTCCTCCGGACCTAAATATGGTAATTAGGTGGACATTTGAGGAGCTATTAAAATAAGAAATGTTTATTTTGACTAACCGTCAACGAGGACTTGAGCAAGAATTATTGGAGCATTTTCCACTTCGGGGATATTCTCCACAACGGAAATGAGCCCGTTGCCACCACCCGTTCCAGGATTTGTGATAACGACGCTAAGGAAAAATGAAAACGGTTTATAAAATTAGCGGATTTTTAGCGGATTTATCAGTAGTTTGTACATACCCGTCTATTGGCTGGATTTCTTGGAGGAATATGGTCGGAAAACCACCTTGAGATTGAGTAATAATAAATGTGTGACGAATTTAGCATTTGATAAGTATGTAGAATTGTGTAAAGGAGGGCAAAATGCATTATTTTAAGCTCTATTCTTGCCAGGGTTCGGAATTCCGGGGGGGTGTTACACCCACAAAAATACGAAAATCTACGCCGAGAAGACAGCAGTGGTACGAAAATACAGGTTTTGTCAAGAAATTAACGCTGGTAAAATACTGTAAATATTTTTTTTAATCGTGAAAACAATGTATTTTGACGGCGATAGAAAATTAATTTGTTCAGAAAACCTGCAATTTCGTAAGATTGCTATATTCCACATGTAGATTTTCGTCTTTCAGTGGGTGTAACAGCCCTGGAAATGCAAACCTTGGGAAGAACGGAACTCAAAATACTGTATTTTGCCCACCCCTGAGAATAATGCGGATTTTGTGTAACGTTACCTTGAGCAATACCAACCACGGATAAGAGGCAAAGTGCCCCCGCAAGGGTAAGATGCCTTACGACGAAGGCCATCTTTTTGTACCAATTTTAATCAAACGGTTTCCAATGTCGAAACGACAATGACTGTTAACTGGATACCTTTTGGAATATGTAATATGGGTATATGGACTGACTCATTTGTCAAATTGTCGCATATACGTATGCATATTATCGATACGATTTTGTTATCTCGGAATTCTTGATCGACGCGAAAAGTCGATTATTTTCAATTGATGAGATAACCGATTATCTTTTTGGGAACGATACAGTCTAACGCATTGTCGTGCGTCAAATATTAAATGCACAGAGGTTATCTTGCCTCATAGTCATTAATGACTGATGATGATAAATGTCTTATTTTAGCATGGGTCCCGATCTCCCGATACGATATTAATCAGATACCAGGTAAATAAATTATTAATTACGTAAGAATTAGGATGACATCAATTAATAATTTATTATTTTGGGCAGAAAATCACCAGAAATTGCAGCTCACTCCTTACAAATAGCATAGAAGAAGTGTTTTAAAGTTGAGTTGACAATAAGAGATAGATATTTTAATAAAATTACTTTAAGTAGATGGGCACGATAAAATTTGTTAACATATTTTTTATCCTTATGCATGTACAAATCATAAGCACAAAAAAATTACGTATTTTTTCACAGTTTACTCTCCTTGAATTTTATATAGCTTTCCTTAACATAACACATTTACATATTTTTATTTTTATTTTATCAACGATTTTATGATAGCATTTTGTTTTACACCAATGAAATTTACATATTTACCGAACAACATGTCAATAAATACATAAGTACATAGATATTTGTTGATGCTAATTACGAATAAGCGGATTATTTTTAGGTACATACGTCATTCAATCAGGTTTTAAAATTTTGGAGAAGAAGATCCTGCCTCCTTTAAATAAGTCAAAATTGACGTAAATGTGAATTTTCATTTGTGTCAACTCATTTATGTACATCAATTAATTATTCTAAACATTTATCACACTGGAATCAGGTCCTTTAGTTAAACCAACCAGGTCAAAGTTGCGTAAAGTTATATATTTCGTAGTAGTACAGCCATTTGCAAGTATTTAATTTACAAGCTACTACAAAAAGATGACACATTTATAATGAAGAAAAAAGAATATGTAACAAAAATATAAAATGGCATGCATACGTCAGTTAAATCATCAGAGATCAGAAAACATGACTTAAGGTGGATTTAGATTTTAAATCTCATTCTACCCCGATTCAATGTCTTTAAATTTCTAAAATGACACCAATTTCGTGAGTTTTGAGATAAATGCTACTTTTCATACTTTAATGCAAAGTTTTGGTACGGGAAACTATCGATTAAAAAAAATATCGAAATGTTTTTTTGAAATTGTGAAAAAATGGTAAATGAATTGGCAAATTAATAATTTCATAGTACCAAAAATTAACTAGAAAAAGTTGAATTTATCTCAAAACTCATGAAATTGACGCATTTTAGAAATTAGCATTTAAAAGTATTTACCGGGGGTATCATGAGATTAAAAATCCATGCCACCTCATATCCTCATCCAATGCAACCTTAAACCTGAACATTTTTTGGAGATTCAATATTCAAATTTAATTCTGCCATGTAGCCAGCCAATTCTTCGCTGGTGTACTCCACCTCGTCCATATCTTGAAGACTGCTGTTACTAATTGTGTTCGTATTGTTGGATTTGGCCGAGTCCATGGACGTGTAGCTCGTCGCACGGCACGTGTTTTTTGGAATGCTGGCCCCCATAACGTTCCCACTGGACCCGGTCCGCTCTCTGGGGTGGTGGAGGACTGATTTGTGGTGACCACCCTTCATGGACGCGTCGAGAATCGTGACGGCGTACGAGGAAGGGATCGAGGGGTCACTGGGAAGTCGGAATGGGGTCACGTTTCGACTTGGACTCGTGTAATCGGACCCTGAAAGGGTGAGAGAGGTGCAATTGTCCCTAGATTTGCCCTTCTTCCGACGAAGAAAGGTCCTCAAACTTGGCTTGGGTTTTGTCGACTTGGAGTCCAAGCGGAGATGGAGGGGAGACATTTTTGATGAGTGGTTAAGTTTCCTGTGGGTGAGATTTAATTTAGTGTTCTTATTTATGTAGGAAGTTGGATACATAATGATCAGAGGGCGGATATTTGTTTATATATTTTCAAGTTTTTCATTTGATCACGAATGATGATCAACTTTGTGGGTTTGTTCCCTAACTCGCATAGAGAACTAAGATTTCAAAATATTTTACATATTGTTATAAATTTCTAGGTTTTCAGGCATATAAATATTTCCGATATTATTTGAAAAAATATATGAATGTTTTACTTTTTTCAGAAATACGTATATTGTGATGTGAAACGACATTTTTTTTGCTCAAAAAAGTTGGATTTCATAAAATTCAGAGTATTATCTTCAAAAATACAAATTTTTTGAAAATTCTTATTTTCATGGCGTTGTTCGTGCATATTTCGTAAATACTCTGGCGTTTTTTCCGTAATGAAATATTATATTAAATGCATATTTCAGCAATTTTTCGTAAATGCGAGTACATATCCGCCCTCTGATAATTATTAAGAACAATATCCATAAGCAAGTTTATCTTAAACATGTAACGACCACATACCCGTTACTCTTTGTAGAAACTTTCATCTCCGTCATAGGAATTTCATCGTCCTGATTCTCCTTTTCTGGGGGACTAGAATTCAACGGGGTTGTCACCGTCGCGATATCATTATCACTGCCGCCGCAGTGATCGTTGTTCAACCCATTTCCGTTATTCCGGAATAATGATGCGTGATTCTTGTGTCTGGCCTTTCCCAAAAAGCCAAAAGTGACCCCACGCCCATTCCCATTCAGATTCGCACACCCTCCACAAACCGGACAATGCACCCGGGTCACGACCGACTTGGACGAGGACAATATAGTCGTCGCCGTTTTCGGGGTGGTCATCAACATCTTATCGCCGACTGGACAAGAGCACGGATAAGTCGTCGTGTTATCGATGTCGACCATCATTCCGTTCGAGTTTCCGTTAGAATTTGGATGTGCAACGGAACAAGATGCCCTCCTGCTTCGTCCCTGATGTTCCAGAACGTTCATGTCCAGCGGAAATTTTTCAATGTTGTTGCTTTCGTCCACTTTGACTCCTCTGGTGATTGCCGGGTTTTTGTTGAGGTGCATGGCGCGTTGGCTGGTGTAATGCGTCATTCTTAGTGATCTGTTATGCGAGTACGACATGGCTGAGTAGGTTCGGGTATGATGTCCGTGACGAGAAGGGGACGGTCGTCCGCAAAAATGACCCATCGTGTCCTGAATTTAAAGGAGGGGTTGGATTAGTTTTGGGGTGAATTTTCCTTTTACGGAGTAAAAATCTAGGTCGCGCTGTGATGCGTATTAAAGGACACTAAAATTATAAATTTTATCGAATCGTTTAAGCTATTATAACGCCTCTCACTTAAATATGGTGATAACGCCAATTAATTTACATATAATTGGTCTAATTTTTTAACCATTCCAACTTTTCCAAAATTCTATTAACAAATGGCACTCAGGAATTGTGCAAACATCGAATGACTAGTATGCCGAAGGACAAAATCATGGCATCTTTCTTCAGTTTGTTCCATGCTTGTAATCAGTTCTGTTAAGGAAAGGCTGGACATATTTAATATAAAGGTTGAGTTTTCATATGGAATTGGGGAAATTTCGAAAGGAGGACAACGATAAAGGACAATAAACATGTAAGGAAGCAGTGGCCGCGGAAGCTGTGGGGGCAGCTGGGGACATTGTAGGATAGGAGAGGGAGGGGTTCACGTAGAATGGGCAGACGTTATGGCAGGGAGGGGTAACATGGACAAATCCTGCGGACATTGAATAACCGTGGGGACATTGTCCTCACGCTTCCGCGGCCACTGTAAGGAAGTCTATGAAAGATGGGGGATTGGAAGGATTTATTTTCAATGTTTGTGTAATGCCTTATGTGTATGTACATCGATATTCACTCTGTTCCGTTCTTGACAAGTGCGTCACACTTTAATATGGTTTCGTAGAAGGGGAAAAACACCCACTAAATAAAATCTCAAATAGGTTATGTATGATACTTTGCGACCTGTGGCCGCGGAAGCGTGCGGACAGAGGGGCAATGTCCCCACGGTCATTCGATGTCTCCATCATCTCCCCATCTTATATAAACCCAGCCCTCCCTCGTCGTACAATGTTAATGTCACCACGGCTTCCGCGGCCACTGTTTGCATTTGCGACGGGGTACTAACCTTAAACGCTTGTCGGAATTTATTACTCATAATGTGATCTAGAAATGAAACGAAAATGTTGCGTACTTATTTCACAATAAATTTATTAATTCCGTGTCACAAATCTTACACAGGATCGGATTGACGCACGTGCTGAGATAGTAGAGAATTCCGGAAACGTGGGTAAGCCCTTGGTAAACCAGCATGAAGAAGTCGGAAGGAACTTTTTGGGATGAACCGTAAAGAGCCATCTAAAATATGCCAAAGCATTCTTTAGTAGACAAAATATTGCACAGAAAAATGAGACAGATTTAAGTTTTAGTTTTTGTACCAGTCTTTGCGCATGAAATGGGAACCATCCGATAAAAAATGCAACGACGACGGCGACTGAAATGGCAAAATTTTAAAACATTCAATTATTTTGGACGACTTGAGGAGATCATCATTTCAGTTACATCACAAGTATTTTGTGGAATTAGGTAGCTTCCCGACATGTTTAGAAATAGTTTATAATTAACACGAGTAGAAATCAGTGTGTCGAACTCTGTAATAATTGACAAAAGCTAGATGCATATTGTATGCTGCATAATTTTTGTACGCAATTCTGTCAAAAATTTCTACAAGTTCTACTCTGCAGAACTGTATATGCATAATTTTGCATACTTTTTTGCACAAATCGCTCTGCCTGCATACAGTTTTTCTAGAGAAAACTGTGACAAATTTCTCTACAAAATCGGACCAAATTTCTGCTCTGCAGTTTTTACTCGAGAAGCGAGCATTTCATTTGCATTTTATCCAACCACATTATTTGCTATTTGCTAACCACTAATTCTTTAAACAGAGAAAATTCGAAAGATGTGAGAATTAAATTTTAGCACAGGTTTGCAAGTTGACTTGAAATAGAGGAATTATGCAAAGGTTTGACACTGCAAATTTGTTACAGAAAGGCCCTGAACGATGGAACATTGTGATTTTCGTGTAAGAACTTGATTTTCATTATATGTAAATGTGATTCCACTGCCATGTCCAGTACAACTACGTAGTGGGCACACGAAAAGTGGGGACATAATTTAAAAATAGTTACACTAAAGCTCTCTTTGTAAAAACATTTTCTAACCGGTATTAAGCAGTAGTCTTTCCGAGGGAAAGGCTTGATTTTCACCATATGCTAAATGCAAATCATTCACCGTGTACAACTACAACCAGAGGGGGGGGGCAAGAAAAGCGTGGGGTGGGGGCAGAATGTAAAAATAGTTGAAGTCCAGTAAAACTCTTTGTAAAAACATCTTCTAAACCGTATTAGCATTCTTGCCGAGGTAAGAAGCACCAGCGGCTTTAAACTAGAATTATCATGTTATTTATCTTGTTGTTGTGTAAAATCTTTAAAAATCCAACCTATCCTCTGGTTGTTCAGATTTAAAGAATATTTTACATTTTTACATATGTACAGAAATAAACAATTCAAGCGTCTACTTGCATACGTAATAAATAGGTATGCTTTCCTTGTGAAAATGATGCTACGTAATCGCATCACATTACACATCAAACATCAAAGTGATTTAATACATGTTACAATTCAAAGATGTTTTCTTGATAAAAACCTACAGTGCAGACTCCATATAGCCCGAGTCAGGGACAGAGTCCTTGACTCGATAAGTCCGAGTGTCCGCTTCTTGTCCGAATTGAAATACATACTAAAGCTGCATATAGTCCAGCCTCCATACAAAATTTCAGCTCGATATGAAGATTTCGAGAAATCAGTATGGGTCACCCCCAGGGTCACTCTGGTTGCATTTTGCAAACTTTTAACTTCATATTATTTCATACGAAGCCATTAAGTATCACCGTGCTGGATTTCAGCTTTTTCAGCCACTTTCTAAAAATCGGTATGGGTCACCCCATAGGGTCGCTCCAGATAAAAATTTTACAAATGTCATTTCATATTCTTCCATTAAGACCCACACGCAACCTGTGTACCAAATTTCAGCTCGATATGACGATTTTGAAAAATCGGTATGGGTCACCCTTCAGGGTCCCTCAAGATGAAAATTTTTCCAACTTGAAGTCATTTTTATCTATTAGGAGGCATTAGCAACCTCTGTACCAAATTTCAGCTTTCTACGACAATTCTGAAATTTTGGTGCATAATACCCCACCCACTCCGATGACCCCCACCGGTCAACCACTTCACCGATTTCGCCCATCTTCGAACTCGTTTCCTAACTTTGTCCTATACGGATATGGTAAAAATTTCAAGTCAATCGGTTCAGCCGTTTTGGCTCTATCGTGCCGGACAGACAGACAGACAGACGGACGGACGGACATGACGGTTCCATATGTTTTTCGAGTTCTATTGGACTGTAGAGCTTAATGGCAATAATCTAAATGTCGTCTGATTTTGTTGACGAGATGGAAACATGAACTCCACATTGCATTATATTACTTGAGTCTGGTTCATGTTTATTTTTACATGTGCCGTAGTCACTCATTAGCTAATGCGAGTATCATCTAACGATACGTAGCAAAATCTTGATCAGGTTGTCGGGATGCCATGGCATGACGTTGAGCTAAGTTTTCACGATTTGTTATGCGGAAGAAAGTTGTGCAACTTGTTAGGAATGCGGGGGAGACGATGGACTAAACTCTAATATTTCATCACTTAATGGGATGAGGTTTTCTCTTGTGGCGAATCTCCAAATCGAGGAAAGTCGTGGTGAAGACCCACAGATTTGGAGTATACTTACTGAAGCCCAGAGTTGAGTCGGGTTTCGGTTTTTTGATTATCCGTAGCTCCATCCGATTTTTTGGTAATCTGTATTATTTTTAAGATAGACATATACAATGAGAGCATGTTTTTGCGCTCTAAAGTTTGATGGCTTAAAATTTCCGTAATTTATTTTAAAAAGAATTCGCAATAATATTGGGTTAATAAACCTGCAGTTTTCGCCATACGAGCAAAAATGTGTGATTTTTTTTTTACAAATTTTGAGTTCTGTCTCTGTGTCAAACTTGTCCAAATTGTTTTAATATGACTGGAAATAATTTATAAATTTATTTTCGACTAAAATTTGGCCAGTGGCTCCAATTCTGACCCAAGTTTTCCAATTTGTTGAATTTGCGAAATATGTAATTGGATTTTCAACGATCGAAATATGATTTTAAGGTTAGCATTTTAAGTTCATTCATAAGTTCTAACAATAAAGCTGAGTCGTTAATTCAAATCCATTTTTGAATGAAATTTTGACCATAGTGAAATCAGGAACTTACGATGACACTATCCTATATTTACGTAACTTGTTTATCGTCGGTTGTCCATAACAGGGGAAGGAATATCGAACACAATTTTCGATTCACCTAACTACACCTGTGCAAATATGCTTCTACTAAACATATTTATTGAATTCTAATGATTTTCACAGCTTATTTACAGTGATAATACTAAATTTATAAGCCTAGAAATCTCACCAGGCAAAATATAATTTTATTCTTAGATCGATTTTGTTTATGCAAAGAGAAAATGGTGTTTTGTGTGGGTAAGTAAATAGGTAGTGATGAAATCTGCTTTAAATTTGAGAAATTGTTTAGCATAATTTTGTGTATGTAAATTTACACAATTAAATATCCTTTAAACATCTATGCATGTATTGCCTCCCTTTCGCTATACATACACATTAAGTTAAATAGACAGACGTTTTATTCAGCTTACTAAAGTAACCTCCAAACTCATCGATATAGTCGATTTTGGGTTACACAAAAGGGATTTACTCACGTTATACCAGCCCATGTATCTATATTATTCTACTATTTTTGTCAAATTATATTCGAGTCTTGTCACTTGATGCACAGGGATTAAAATCAGTACTAGTGCTGACGCGCATACAACGCAATTACAAAATACTTCAATTAATTCATCAATCAATCGCCACGATGAGCGCCATTGATACTATGAGCGCTATTAAACAAATTACTACTCGCCCTTCCCCTCTAGCCTGCAAAGTTAAACGCCACCTGAGATATTGCGACCCGTTCCTTAGCACCTTTCCAACCTGGGATGCAGATAAGAATAAATTCATCCTTCGCAATAAACAGTACCACAGAATCGTTCGACTATCATTAGTAATACAATTCCTTATCATCCTCCTCCAGCTGTACTGTACGAGAACAAAGGCCACCAACTTCCTCGAATCTGCCGAAGGGATTGGAATTACGTCCATTTTCTTTGGCGCCTGGCTGCTCAGGGCGGAATTCTATCCCGACCCGGATCAGATTCCTCTCCTCAATTACATATGTATGTTCGTCAAATCTTGTAAGGTATTCATTCTTAAAGATTAATTCATCCCGTTTTTTCTTAAGGTGCCAATTACGTAACTACAGAGGAAACAAAATTCATCTGGAAATGTGTCAACTTCTGTATGGACTTGGGAGAATTGGAATACTTTTTGGTTCCCGCGTTCGTAACCATTCTTGCGGTCCTCCTCCCGTGCAAACCACCCTTGTTAAGCGCGCTCTTTTGTCACAGAGGAATCTTGGAAGACTGGAACGTTGCAGAGCGACTTGTCGCTATTTTGATCGAGTTTTTGAACATAAGTATCCTCGCTGTGGGTGGTGGGTACCACGGACTGGTCGTCCTCGTTCCATCCATTTTATTCATACTGTCCGAATTGAAACTGGTGAACAATCCGTACGCGAGTATTTTAGAGTACAGACAGTTGCAGGTTCTTGAAAAAATTGTCAATGCTGTTATTCGCGACCGGACATTCGCCACGTATGGCTACTTCTTCCCGGTTATCCAGTTGTCCTCGTGTTTCATGATCAAACTTTGGCATGATTCAGCCGCAAATATTTTGAGAATAGGGGTGTTCGTAACTCCTTACTTGGCAGCGGTGGCGTTTAGTCTTATAACGTTTTCGGTGGGGGGAAATATTATCCGGGTGAGTGGAGATTGGATTGCGAGGTATAAAGGGAAAAGTAAATCGGCCCTGGATAAGAGAGTTGGTAGGTCTTTGGCACCCTTAAGGATTCAGTTTGGGAATAATTTTGTGGAAAGATTGACTCCACTAGTGCTTCAGGAGCTTTGTGTTCGACAGACAGCGTCGCTCCTACTTTTATCGCGGTGAATGATTAGTGTGAGAATACTGGAGTAGGAATTATTGATTCATTTTAGAACTGTGGCTAGAATTGTAAAAAGACCATCTTACACATTTGTAATACGATTTTAACTTAAAGGATTACAAGCGTACTAATCCTCCCAAAGACAATATTAATATCTTTGGTAGATGATAATAAATAAACACCTCAAACATGATTATAATATAAATAATTTTGTAATGTGTAATTAATTACCCATGACATAAAATGACAGTACTGCAAAGTAACGGTTATAAGGAAAATCAACATTTCGGTTCACAAAAAACTGTTTCCTGTAATTTTGTGAACCTTTTTTATTTTCGTCCTCTTTCCTCATTTAACGGCACGCCATACAACTATACCTGTAATCCAATGGTTGTTTGTCATTGATATTTGTCAACTATATAAATAAGCTTGTTAATTAAAAGACGGATCAGATATTTAGAAAAACGGATCGGATTGGATATTTTTGTTTCAATTCTAAAAACAAATAGGATCGGAAATGTCTATAAATTCGAAAAAGCGAATCGGATCGCGTCTCTGCAAACGCTGATCCGACTCAACTCTAGATGACGACGTGCTAACAAGCTTAATAACACGGAATTATAGCTCAGATGCATTTTGAGAATTAACTTGCATCTAATTATGTCCAAAACTTGTACAAAAGTTCCTTTTACGGCATAAGAGAAACGAGTATAAACGTGATGACGAGGAAGAAAGATGACCAATTATTCATTTTAATAAATTAGCCAGTAAATTACCTAGCATGCGGACTACATGACTTTGTGAATGTCGAGGATGTAGCCTTGGCTCATGGTTGAGCGGACTCTTTCGCGACCGGCGAAGTTTGAGACCGATGAGAATGTAGAGAACGCTGATAATCGTCATTGGAATAACGAAGAAGACGCAAATTGAGATCTGGAAAGGGGGATAATTTCATTATTCGGTTGCGATAACCATTGTGTCAATTTGAACTAATTTGAACCCACCTGGAAAGCGTAAGGAAATATTTCTCGCACTAAAGTACACCACGCTCCTTTGATAAGCACCACGTCTGGGTTGTAACGACTCATCTATAAATAGGAAAAAGAGTTGATTAGAGAGTGGGTAAAAGTTGTTGTCACTAATCACAGAGCATAATGGAGGTCGACCAGCGTATGCGATCCGATTTTGAGGAAATTAGTGTGAAACGATCACAAATTTGGTTAATATGAAATTTGCAAAAGACGGGATCTCCCAATGGGCACCTTTGGCAGAGATATTTGCATCCAAAGAGGAGAAAGCGTGCAGGAAATTTGGAAAGCATAAAATTTTTCAACCTTATGCTCGTTTTCTCCTCTTCAGATGCAAATATCTCTGCCAAACGTGCCCATTGGGAGATCGTGTCTTTTGTAAATTTCATATTAATTATATCTGTGATAGATTGAGAGTATAGTTTCCCAAAAATCGGAGAGCATACACTGGGAGACCTCCCTCATCATTTTTATATTTATTAGATTTGCAAGAGAAAATGTGCACAAGTTCGCCGCCAAAGTGAAAGCCAAATCGAACCAAAATCGCCCAAATGAAATTACTCCTGCTCCAATCATTGAATACAAACAGTCGCAAATTGGCATTTCGTCACAAATGTGAATACCTGTAGACTATGTATGTGGTACGCTTGACAGGTTGCTTAATCATATCAATTGTGCATACACATATATGTAGTAAGTTACGTACATATGTACATACATTCGTAAATGCGCTAGATTTTGCAATCATGAATGTTTGCCCTGAATGATCAAAGCAAAGTTCAGTCATCGCTTTTGGCCTATTATTCTCGTTCGTAATAAAGGAACTAAATTGACTCGACGGGCGTGCAGCAAAGTCTCTGCTGGCTTGAAAACGGTTTCATTAATGGGACGAAATAAGGTTGAAAATGTCACTCGGCGACAATGGGAGAAGGTGACAATTTACGAAATTGCGGACACGAGCTTTCAATAGTCTCCGTCCTTTGATGGTGAAGGCTGTGCACAGTGACCGCGGAAGCGTGGGTGGGGACAGAGGGACAATGTTCCCACGGTTATTCGATTTCCCCATCTTATATAAACCCCTCCTTCCTTTATCCTACAATGTCAATGTCCCCACGTGTCCCCACGGCCTCCGCGGCCACTGGCTGCGCGCATTGAAAGAGAAAAAAATGAGAAATTTGCAGAAAAGTTTGCCTTTTTACCTGGTCTTTCACCCCGAACTGTGCGGATTGAGGGAGTGCGAGGCAAAATGCGACACCCCAAATGATTCCGATCATTCGGATTACCCGTGAGAGTTGGGAAAGCTTGTGGCTGCGGGGAGAAAGTTAGATATGTCAATTATAATATTTTCAGTTTTTTTAAAAAAGGGGATGATTACCTTTTTAGTGGATAAACGATCGCGACAAATCTGAAAATGTGTAAAATTTATTGAAAACGTCTGTTTAATGTAGGATTTTTGCATGGGATCAACGCCCAACTAAACTAAAATGAATTCTAGCAACAGATATAATAAACTGGCGGAAATTATGCTTATTCTTGAAGTCCCCGCCTCAAACTGCGTCTTAAACCGTCAAAACATAAAATCTGCATTCATGGCTTTGACCTCATCACCGTGACCTTTTGACCTACAAGGTCAATTAACGAGCTCCCTCTAACTTTTAAAATTAGATATCGATACCCGAAAACAAAACTAAACAAACTTGATTTGTTTGAAAGTTATCGTACTGATGGACAGACAAACGGACGGACGGACAAATCGATCGCAAGAAGTATCATTCCCCACCCGTTAACAATCAGGAAAGGTTCACGAACTCATAATGTGCGGTGGGGGAATTGTAAGCTGGGTTCAGCAGTCACGTATCATCTCTGATCTTATTATTGGAACTCTTGATTTAAACGAACCCAATTCTGCATCAAAGGGTAAATTCATAGACGTTCGAAAGTTAGGTAGATTCGCGTCCACGTCATGGTTGCAGAGAAAATGGGGAATGAACACGATTCATTCGGGTGATGGGTTCATAAAAAGATATTCGAAACTGGTCATACCCAAATGATAAGATAACTTTATTACTCTCTTTATCTCAGCATTATTTATATGCATGTGCATGTACATACGCTAACCGCATCATCTCCCAGAAAGGAAAAACAGAGAGGTTAATAATGTGGAAGTCAACAAAAATCTATGGTCTTTGATAAAATGGTTCTGAAATAGGGAAATCTAATTTCATCGAAAGAAAGACGTGATTCCAGTCAGAACAAAAACAAGAAGTTATGCAATTGAAATATATTCTCGGTATGGAGGTCGACCAGCGTATGCGATCCGATTTTGGGCAAATTATTGTCAATCGATCACAAATTTAATTAGTATGAAATTTGCTAAAGACACGACCTCCCAATGGGCACTTTTGGCAGAGATATTTGCATCCGAGGAGGAGAAAACGCACAGTAAATTTAGAAAGTGTAAAATTTGTCGACTTTGAGGCGCGTTTTCTCCTCTTCGGATGCAAATATCTCTGCCAAACGTGCCCATTTGGAGATCGTGTGTTTCGCAAATTTCATATTAATTAAATTTGTGATCGATTGACACTAATTTGCTCAAAATCGGAGAGCATACGCTGGGATAACTACATTCTTAGCATGATAAGTTCTATATGTAGATGATTCCAATCGATATAAATACGTTACATACGTACCAAATCTATACCAAAAATAGAGCAAGTTGCAAACCAAATGGTAATTTTACCTTTCCACCGTGAACGCCGTGATGGTGAGGACCGTTGCATTGGCCGAGGTCTCCGCAGCCAAGCCGCGAATTAGGCAGAACGCCTCTCCGAAAATATATGGATATTTTACCCAAATGTGATAAATTTCCTAAAAAGAAGGGAATAATTGCATTATTATTCAGCAGGTCCTTCAACTTTGCGAATCAAGGCTTAAAATTCATACCTGCGGTAAGCCACTTATCAGTAGCAAAAGGTCGGACATGGCAAGACTGAAAGTTCAGTGGAATATAATTTCATTTTATAAACGTCATTATTTTAATATTCTACCGTTTAGTTTTTATTTAGAATTTTTATTTTTACCTGAACAAGTAGTAGTTTGTGGCGGTATGCATGTACGAAGTTCTAGCAATTACTATGCAAGTGCTCATCTGTTGATAAGCATATAAAAAATATTAGGATTATCAATATGTTGATAAGTACTTATCGAAAGACTCGATGATGCATCACGAAAATTGTCAAAATTCACACATTTTTTATAATTTTTCGGCTCTGGGAACTTATTTTAAAATTCTGGACGACAAATTTGCAGTCAGTGAGGTGATTAATAGAATGTAGGTAAGTGTTTAAAGCCAATTTCGACATTGAGTTCCAATTTTTCTGAAGGCTTCTTATCTCCTCCTTCAAAAAGTTTCAAAATCTAGAGTGTATATTTTCAAAAAATTGGCAAATCCCTCTGCTCTTCAAAAATTTATCGTCCAGAATTTTAAAATAAATTCCCAGAGCGGAGAAATCATTAAAAATGTGCTTATCTCGTCCTACGATAATAACAATGTTTTCCTGGTTTTATTTTACTCACATTTCCCACCAGTCCACTTATTAATATCAGCGAGTAAATCATTGTCATCGGAATGGCGATGGACAAAGGGTCCCTCAGTGGGTTGTCGTCAATCTCCAATTCCATGAGCTCTTCCACGCTGAGGTTTGCATACGGGTTGAATCCCGTCCCGTTACCCGGCATGTGCATGTCATCCTCAATCTCCATGCTTGAATAGGACGACGACGAAAAAGAGGAATTTGAAGCGGATTGATAGCCCTCCGAATTGAGCAGGGCTGCATCTTCGTCGGGGGGTTCGAATGACACGTGATCCGGGGGGACTTTGTTGTGGAACAAATCCATCCCGTCGGCCAGCGTGCCTTGAACGAAGGAATGTACGAGGGCAGTCGTGATGAGGAGGATGATGCTGAGATGATTCCCCTTCATTTCTGGACCATGTCGGGATGGTGAAAGTTTGTGGGATTCGCCACTCATGTCAAGCTTCCACTTCTTGTGCTTGGATTTGCGTGGTGGCATCTCAAGCTCGAGAAGGGCACGGGATAGATGAGATAAAAAGTGGGGTGTGTGATGGCTGCTGAGCTTCAGTGGGTATGTCGGATGGGAGGAAATACATCGGAAATAGAGATGATGGTGGGAAGCAACCCTGTAAATATAAAGATTTGTTTGGTATGAAAGCCTTTTTGTGATGGATATATGAAAATATTGGCAGGTTTTCTGCAGAAAATTGGGTGATTTTTGGCAAGATAAACTGTATGCACAGAGATATGTGAATGGAGAACTATGAACATACAGTTCAGCATAATAGAAATTTTATAGAGAAATTTGGCCAATTTTTCTGCAGAAAAAATGCATGCAGATCAAAAAGTGCATAAGCTATGAGTTTTTATGTACAAATCAGAATCAAAATTTTCTGCAGAATCACAAGTTTTTCCTGTAGACAAGAATCCGAGGACAATTTATGCAGAATTTTGCAGAATTATAGACACGACTTTATGCACAAATAAGTACAGTAGTATGACTTTCACCCATATTGATTAGATAGTCCGGGTGAAAGTCAAAGTAACAGAACACTCATTACTGTTTTACAATGAGTCAATTGTGTAAATATTTACAAACGTGAGTGACCAACATTTCATTCTCAAAGGAGCCGACCGACATCATTATCAGAATCTCTCACCCATGGCGAAGAAGAATAAGTGAAAGCAAGTAACTCAAGAACTGCTCAGCTATTATTTGCCGCCGTCATAAAGTAGCCAAGTCATACCAAATTGTGGTGGGTGAATACCAGTCAAATTGTATTTTAATACCTGTCTGCGCAAAGCGGTGATTGATGATGGTCAATGATGAAGAGCTTTCTCCTTTTCAATCCACAAACAGTGAGTGAAAGCTTTCTGACTGACTGTTGATGTCGTAAAACAAGAATGCATCCTCGAGACGAGAGGAGGAAATGTGTGTCTAAGATTTCAAGAGGTTGAAAGTCTGGGTGATTGGGGTGGTGAACAGGGGCCGCGGAAGGGTGGGGACAGAGGGAAAATGTGAGTGAAAGCTTTATGAAGCGGTAAAATAAGAAGAGCGAGAAGAGAGGAAATCCATTTAGAAAAAGATTTCAAATCTTAAGAAGTGAAAGTCTGGGTGAACAGGGGCCGCGGAAGGGTGGGGACAGAGGAACAATGTTCTTAGATTTCCACATCATCTGCCCATTTTATGTTAACCCTTCGTTCCCCTGTCAAACAATGTGATGTTAATGTCCCCAGATGTCCCCACGGCTTCCGCAGTCACTGTATGTACATGCTCCATAGTGATGATAATGCCAACAGTGGCCGCGGAAGGATGGGGCCAGAGGGACAATGCCCCCCCGGTTATTAAATGTCCCCGTCATCTTGCTTCTCATGCTATGTAAACCCCTCTCTCCCCCATCCCACAATGGTAATGTCCCCACATGTCCCCACAGCTTCCGCGGCCACTCTTGGTCTGGTGGTGAATATGAAACTGATACATTTTTCATGCTGCAGAGAAAGCACGGAATTTATTTATTTTTCAAGGATCCAGACTAATCCGAGATTTAAGTGTATCCACACTTACTTTCTCAATCCTATTGAATTTTCTCCGCGTAAACATGTTTATCTACATGGAACAAATCCACGGCACGGGACAAATTGTGGACTATCATAGTTTTTCATAACACAAAGTGAGAAATCGAGACCGCAAACAGATTATTATAGGCAAAACCTGACCTTGAAGGAGGCTTTATTATTGTAAGAATCAATAGTATCTAGTCTCGCAAAGTATGATATTTGGTTTCATTTCAAGTGGTTCAAGGTCTCAAATCGTAGAAACGAAGAGGAAGAATTTTTCATAAAAAACGCAAGGAACATGAACGTTCAAAAAACATTTGAGCTTTAAAATATGGGCTTTTTTAAACTCCAAGCTAAATACCCGGGTAGAAAAAATTGTGTCGAATTCTGCAGTAATCGACAAAAACTTGATGCATATTATACTTATTCTTTATGCATTTTCTTCATATTTTCTTCATATTTTCACCATATTTTCTTCATATTTTCACCATATTTTCTACATAGTCGTGCAGAAAATGTCTATGCATTTTATTCTGCACAACTGTGTGTGACTAATTCTGCATGAAGGTTTTTGTGCAAAAAATTGGGCCAAATTTCTGCAGGGAAGCCATTCAAGTTTTTACTATCTACAATATCTAATCATTTATTTAAATATGTTACATATTCAACTCATGAAATTAGATATTTCCACGACTTTTTTCCAAGAGACTGGATGATAAGGTTTCCAATCGATGAGATTGTCCTCCTTATCTTTGATTTCTTTTGAGAAGAGAAGAGAAGAAATAAATAGATCAGTAATTTTTGACGTGAAGAAGCAATTCTTTGGATCTCAAATTTCTGAAGGAAATAACTTTCTGAAGGACACTGCACATTATTATTATGCATGCATGCATATTATTCTAGTCAGTTATATAAAATAAGAGTTATTTTCATTTGAAGTCTCGACGATGTAATCTGAATATGCGGAATCTTTACGTATTCCAGTCACACAACTGGGTCACAATTGGTTTCGTCTCCCTTCTACTTAACTTATGATGAGTGGCCGCGGAAGCTGTGGGGACATTTGGGGACATTAACCTTGTAGGATGAGAGGGGAAGGATGGGTTTATAAAAGATGGGCAGATGATGAGGACATCGGATAACCGTGGGGAAAGGACATGGTCCCTCTGTCCCCACGCTTCCGCGGCCACTGCGATATGATTCATAACTTATGAATGATAACAGGCGGTCATGATTTATCGGAGATTCCATATTTTCTCCTTTTATTGTCAAAATGTCAACCTCTCTGTCTAATAATTTCAAATATGTCACAAGTCAATTATAAATTTGTATCAGTTTTTTGTATTTTTTAGCCAATAATGGGAACATTACGAAAGAATTTTTCATTTCATTTCATATGCAACAGGCAATAAGGCTAAGATAGGGAAATAATTGTGTCGACAATTCGTAAGTTGGATTATGACAAGGATTTAATTCAAGTCATATGTAATCCTGTCACATAGATGTTTAAGCTTTTTTTATATTCCATTCATCCTTTAAAATTGGAACTGTCATCATTTTCATTGTTATATTTTATTTATGGTTATGCAAGTGGAATGTTTCCCCAATAAAGATAAAATAATATAAAAGATACGAGTCAAGAGTAAGGAGAAAGTGAGACAAAGTTTTCTTCAGTGTGACAAATGGACCCTTCACCATTTAGTATTTAACGACTCTTATAAATATCTCGACACAGATCTGACCAAGTGACACTATTTACCACCATTTTTGTACCCACTTGAGTACATATTCAGAAGGAGAGAAAGCAACAAAAAGGGGAGAGAAAGATGGCCAAAAGTTTAGATTCTGGGTCAGTAAATCCGCAAAATTTTTATTGCCATTCTATTTTCACTTGAATCCACATTTTTTCTTCTCAATACGAGTCTCGCAAAAAAGAGGTAGTGGGTAGGGATGGTAATCCGTATCCTAAATTAACCGATCCGTAGGATAGGATCGGATAAATACAGGATCGGATCGGATCGGATTTGCTCGCTTTAGGATCGGATCGGCTCCCGGTTCTACTCGAAATCCGATGCGATCCGATCCTAGGATATCCGCGGATGACATGTGTGAGACACCTTGTGTCTAACTATGGAAAAACTTTACCAGCTGCTTTTCTTTATTTATTGGAACGGTTTTTGGTGAGTTCATTACATGGCGTACATTATCCGAATGAGCCGAATTATCCTATTATTTAACACCAGTTATTTTTATTTTGGCGTTGAAATCATACGAAATCCAATCATTTAAACGCCAAAATAAAAATAAGTGATGTGAAATAATAAAATAATTCGGCTCATTCGGCTCATTCGGCTCATTCGGCTCATTCGGCTCATTCGGCTCATTCGGCTCATTCGGCTCATTCGGATAATGTACGCTATGTGATGAACTCACCAAATGTGAAACGAGTTTACATCGGATGATCCGAGGATCCTGTGCGATCCTAGGATTTCATCGGTTCGGATCGGATCGGATTGTCTGATCCTCGGATCCTCTATCCGATCCGTGTGAAAATCCGATCCTATCCGAGTTTTTACGATCCTAGGATAGGATCGGTTACGGATTACCATCACTACTAGTGGGAGAAAAAATACATGTAGAAATCTGGAGGGAAGAGCATTGCATAGCATTTTACGGCAACCGTAAAAAATGCAAGTGAAGGAAGACGCATATGTATGTTTGTATCAGATCTTATTGCGTAATGTTTAGAGGGCGGATATGTATTTGTTTGAAGCTTTTTTGTTTGATGATGACCGACGGTCAAATTGTATTCTCTAACTTTTGTAGGAAACTAAACTTTCAAAATATTTCCACGTATTGTTGAATATTTTATAGGTTTTCAGACATAATTCCGCCATTATTTGAAAATTTCGTAAATCTTTATAAATATATTTTTCAAAAATATATATATTCTGTAAAAATTTCAATGATATGAGACGAAATTTGTTTGCTGCTCAAAGAAATTTGACTACAAAAAAATCCAGAGCACTAAATATATTCCGAAATAATACAAACTTTGCGAAAATTTGTATTTTGATGTTTTTTCATACATGTTTAGGCGGCCAAATATTTTTGGTTTTTACTTTCATGTTTCGTAAATATTTTTGAGTTTTTCATAAATACTAGATACTTGCATATTTCAGCAATTTTTCGTAAATATATATCTGCCCTCTGGTAATGTTACGTGTGCACAACAGTTTGTTGTTGGTTGGAAATAAAAACAGGGGAATAGTAAATGCTTAATGTGTGTTGGAGAAAGTAGAGAAGGATACATGCACATGCAGTGGCCGCGGAAGCGTGGGGATATCTGGGGACATTAACATTCTAGGATAGGGAAGGAGGGGTTTATATGGGCAGATGATAAATAGGGATATCGAATATCCGTGAGGACATTACCCCTCTGTCCCCACGCTTCCGCGGTCACTGTACCCGTCAAGAGAGAGAGAGGAGAAAATGATGGCTGGCGGAAGGATGCACTCACTATCCAAATAGTTTAGATTTGCTTGCTTGTCTGCCATGTTATAAAATT